AGACCAAGGCACGTCGCATGCGCTTGTTGGTGGCATGGGATGGGAGTGAGTGCATGCCTTGGATGTGGTGGGCAGGGATGGGGCATGTGATGCATGTGGAGAATCATTGGAACAGGGAGCCAATGTATGTATGGTAATACATAATATAATTATCACATGTAAATATAATATATATAATATATAATATATAATATATAGATATATATATATATATATGTGATATGTGTGTGTGTCTGCATTTATTTATGTAAATATATGTGCACATATTTGATTTCTACCTATCATTGTCGCAGGTTTGTGCATACCTGACCCAAAGTATCCTGAATTTGCAGGATCCGCTTAAATGAGAGGCCTAGCATTGCAGCATAGATGAACGTTTATTTGAGTATAAACGTATAGCGAATAAAATCAACCTCTGGTTATTTAACATAGCCATGGAAAATGGCCCATTTGTAGATGGTTTACCTATTAAAAATGGTGATTCTCCATGGCTATGTTAAATAGCCAGATGGTAGTTGTCAAAGATCTCCGAACCAGATCTATTTTCTTCATCTCTGCAGTTCTTCGAGACTTGAATGAACAGGGCACCCTCATGTTTCCCCCATCACATCACACCTCATGGCTTGAGGCTCAGTACCCTTGCCCTCCGGTGTACCATCCATGTGCTTTCGCGCCCTGGAGATCAACTGCCCGGGAACCCCAGACTTTTCCACCGGGCACCGGACGCCGCGTTTTTTTCTGACGCACCCAGGTTGGTGTACCACGTTCGGAATCCCGGAAGGTGCCGCTTGGAGGGAAGCTGTGGATGCTGTGGATGTTGGAAGATCCAACTTGGAAATAGTTACATTATGTCATCCTTATGTCATCATTATGTCATCATGTTACATTGCATTATTGGGATACCATGGAATACTCCCAGTATCCATCAGTATCTCTCGGATAAACATTGGAGATATCCGATATGGTCATCAAACGCAAGGGAGAATCAGCCACCATGTGTGGTTGATTGTCCCATGCCTCCGTTGCCTCCGTTTGGAGGGGATATCCGGGATATTTGGTCGTCCATCGTTCCTTCGATGTTGGAAAACACTTGCTCTCCAAAAAGATAGATGCGCATGATGATGACATGATGCACGTCCACCTGTACAGCCAACAAAAAAAAATCTAGCAGTCAATCTAGGCCCTAGGCATAAGAGCATCCCAAAAGATAGAAATGAAAGGTTCCAGAATGCTATAGATGATGTTTTCCCCATATTTTCCAATACTGTAATATGTTCTATCTTTTTTGGGGGTTGCTATAAGTGAAACTCCTAGAAAAGCAGATCTTGCCACTTAAGTTCCGCCTTATGCCAGGTATGGCGCCTCGGATGAGTTTGAGTTCGAAAAGCTACAGTCCAGACTCGCTGAGGTCCGCCGGTGTTGGAGGGGGTTTTCCTATGCCGGTATACCCTCTGGTAATTTAACATAACTATGGAAAATCACCATTTTTAATGGGTAAATCCACTATAAATGGGCCATTTTCAATAGCTATGTTAAATTACCAGAGGGTACCGATCATGGCCCGATGAATTTGAGACTTTGGGAGGTTGAGCCTTACCCTCTGGTAATTTAACATAGCTATGGAAAATCACCATTTTTAGTGGGAAAACTCACTATATATGGCCATGTTCAATAGCTATGTGAAATTACCAGAGGGTAATTATGATGGTCTTTACCATGGTATTCACCATGAGATATCTATAGTTAATGGGCAGTTCATAATAGTTAATGGGCTTTGCAAACCATCCAGAAAATTCAAAACACCCCGGAAATTGTTTGTTTTTCGACTGCAAGGACCCTACCAAAACTATGCAAAAGTCTGTGGTTGTTCGTATGGGTTCCCCCAGGAGCTGCAGGATGCAGTGGGGCTCCACATCCTCTCGCAACGCAAAAGCGGTGAGATGGACGAGGTGTCAACTGGGTAAGTGAAACGAGGCTGCTTGGTTGGTTTGTTGTAATTCGAGCCGCGGTTGTCCATACAGGGTACTGAAGTTTTTTTTTAAAATAATTTGTATATATAATATAAGACTATGTGAAGGAGTTCTGGTGGTTTACACAGCCAACCAGCCAGGTTCCAGATAGTTCGTTCAAACTGTCGGGTCACACATTACGTTTGATAGATTGGGATGCACAGTGCACTTCATGGTTTACAAATTTAGATGATTTACGGCGCATTCCATGTCGGTTTTATATGGTTTTATGCAGACGACAGTATTTTTTTGGGTGGGTTAACCTCTGGTAATTTAACATAGCTATGGAAAATCACCATTTTTAATGGGAAAATCCACTATAAATGGTGATTTTCAATAGCTATTTTGACATAACCAGAGGGTAACCCTGGTTTAGCAGATTTCCACTGCTTGAACTTTTCTGAACTGCCGGCCTCGCCAATTCTGACAGCTTCGACAATACCTGGGGACATGTTTGTATTACACATTAATGCTGTAGCATTTGGGATCATTGGGATCATTTGTGATATAGCCTTGATATAGCAATAGAATAATATATATATATATGTGTGTGTATTTGTTTGAGATGATTGAGATGTATAGCAATTCATTCATATATAAACAGGTGTGCACTTGATGTGACAGTTCTATTCACAGGTATCATGATACACCAGTGGGGATGGGCTTCAGTCGCTCAAGCCTGAAACCAACAAAAAAGGATGGCCTTGAAAGATGAATTTGCCCATGAACATATCACCACTATGCATCAATGGCGAGTTTTGAGCTTTGGAATGCTTTGAGCCACCAGAGCCTTTGGGACCAGTGAAAAGAACATGGGATCCGGCGCGAGCAGCGATGTCAAGCACCTTGATTGAAACTCTCGCGTCTTGGGAGGATCTGGTGATGGGGAACCCCATGTTTACCCTTTGGTAATCTAACATAGCTATGGACAATTGCCCATTGAGTTCCATGACTTCGCTACTAAACATGGTGATTCTCCATGGCTATGTTAAATTACCAGAGGGTTGTGAGAAGTGAGAAAATCATCTATAAACGGTGAATTGGCCGTTGGCAGATTGGCACACGTAATGAGGAATCGGACGGACAGGATGATCTCTGGTTCGCAAGGGGGATGTCACAAGAACAGCAGCTGTCCAAGCTCTGAAGCAGCAAAAACATTGTGATATCAATGTAGGGGGACAAGGCTGGAAAAGGCTTTAGCATGCTATGGCCCAGTGTGGCTAAGTATGGCGAAGTACCGTCTGGTTATGTCAAAATAGCTATTGAAAATGGCCATTGAAATAGTGGATTGACCCATTAAAAATGGTGGATTTTCCATAGTTAGGTTAGTTTACCAGAGGGTATCATACGCCAATCCAGTTTCCGAATGCTCTGAGTTCGGGGCCTGGGGCTGTGCCATGCTGTGCCCCCAGGGAGTTGCAGCGGATTTTCGATGCCTGTGATTTGGAGTCCTGCGGGTCCCTTACTGGGGAGGACAGCGATGGAGACTGGGTGAGGAAAATGAATTGGGCTTGACATCCAATAGAACAATATATTGTTGATATATGATACCCTCTGGTAAACTAACATAGCTATTGAAAATCACAATTTTTTATGGGAAAACACTATAAATGGCAATTTTCAATAGCTACGGTAAATTACCAGAGGGTATGTTGATATATATATATATATATGATATGTTGATATCCAATATCCATCTTGACAACCAGTTGACATCCAATGAATTATGATATAATTGGATTGCGATATGAGAAACAATAGAAGTCGACTTTTGTTTGATATTTTGATCCATTGTTTGTAGAAATGTTTTTTGCAAATGAATATATAATCATGTGTAACCAATTGCATCTCCCAGGCATATATGATATCATTATGACTTATGCCAATTTTAGGCCATTGTCCATAGCTTGGTTCTGTTTCCCTGAAGAATCTTGTTCAGAATATGGCATAGCTGTAGGCCATAGTACCTACAATGACAGCGCAGTGACAAAAGAGCAATGTTCTGTACAAAATTTGTGCCACTGCCAGAAATTATAGCTTCCAAATCAGCTTTGGCACGTCCATCTGATTCATTGCAGTTTGAAACCCAGATGATGTGCTGGGGAGCCTTCCAATTTTGAGGGTCATTGAACAGTTGAGTCCAAGCCAGAAACCCCCAGGATTTGAAGATTGCCTTGGCAGGCCAGACCGGGTTGGAGCCAGATTCTAAAGGCAAATAGATCATATCCCCAGGTTCGAAACGTATGGATTGTACAGTTGTTATATGTAATAACGAGTTGTGTATATGTATAATGGCGATGTAGAGAGAGAGAGAGAGAAATACGTATATATCATATATATATATATATTTTATATATCTGATATGTGTGTGTCATATATTTGTACAGATATATTGTTCTTTACATCATCGTTCATTTATTTCTGATTCGTGGTTTGGAATTGTTTATTTTCCCATGTCATCATCCCAACTGACGAACTCATTGTCATATTTTTCAGAGGGGTAGGTATACCACCAACCAGGGTACATCTGCAACTACCCATGGAGGTGCCCCAGTAGCCAGCTGGCATCCACTATAACTTTTTCCAGCTGGACTTTCCAATCCAGTCAACAGCTGTATACTTTGAATATGTGATGTTTCAACAAAATATGAAGGTGAATCAATATGAATATTGAACATGATCTGTTAACAGCATGTTGAATGCTGATGTGACAGATGTGCTTTGATTTTCACAGAAATCGATGCCGCAGTGGGCCGCCCATGTGATCATTTGCTATGACCATGGGCCTGCCAATACCCAACAGCACAACCAATCCCCAATTCAAAGATGTAATGATATGTAATGCGGCACACCTGATGCCATAAACCCATTGGTTTGGGTATGGTTTTAAACACCGAATGGTATTGTTTGTTTGAACATGGGGTGCCCCAAAAAGCCTACGGTTGATAATAATGTCCCCTATTGAAGTGCCGGTATAGCCTACCCCGAGGCGTCGGTCTGGCCAAAGATGCTGCCAAGACCGTGGATTTCCCAGCCTTTTGCGAATTGGTGAAGGAGGCTGGAAAAACATATGGCTGGGGGAATCAAAATTTCAGGGCCTCCCCAATTAGAGTCCAACATCTGGAGGGGCACCAACGATTATCCAACATGGCCGGAAAATTGCTGAAACACAGCGGTTTTCCCAGCCCGGTGAGTCAGTCTGACGGTAGTGGGCAGGCCACAGGATGTGACCCATGACCTGGTTGAGGCCATGGTGTCATCACCAGATCCTCCACGCATCGTCCCTTTTGCACTGCGGGGAATGAGGTGAGATACCTGGGGAAAGCACTTGGTTGTGCTGCATCAAAGGGTTTGCCAGGATTTCCATTCAGATTCCAACATAATTAGTGCGACATCAAGTTGGATCATGTTGAGTCGTGGTTACTTATGTCTTTGAAAGCGAAATGTATGGTGGCTGGCATGTGTGGTTTCTTATATATATATACAGGATGGGGCCCCATAGTTAGCTAAGTTGGTTTAGAACTATAATAACCATAGTGTATGATACTTATAACCATACTTGGATGGGGTTATAAACCAACTTATAACTGGAGGGCCCCATCCTGTATAATCTACATGCAGCGTGATGACTGAGTTGGTTGGAATCAATGGGGCCCGAGGGCCCCATGAACACCGCGGTCCCAGGGATAAAGAAAACGCCAGGAATAAGGGGAGTTTGTTGACATTAGCATTTTGTAGCCGTGTAGCCATCCTATTCATAACTCAAGAATTTAGAATGGTTCATAAATCCTCTGTAAACATGGAGACCTTCCCAATGTTTTGGGTCTCGGTGAGCGATCATAGCAGCCTTGCAGGTTCGAGCAGCTGCAAGCGATTTGCGAGGTTTGTGGTTGCGGCCAGGCGGCGATGGTTCAAGAAATGGGGGTGCAAGGCATCGTGAAGCAGCAAAACAGTGAAAAAAGGTCCCGGGTTCTAGTGGGTTATGTATTTTTATGTGATGTTTGAATGAGGTTCAGGCAGAAAATTGGGGGCACTGAAGTTCTTAAACCCCAAAAACTTGCATTTTGAAACAGATTCCAGATGTGTGACTCACAAGACATGAGGAGGGAGGATCAAACGCGGGGTTTCTCCAACTTTGGCATCCCGCCAACTCACAGCCATTGGTTTGTTTTTGGCAGGTCATGGGAAATCTTCTCAGGTTCTGAACCCTCCAAGTTGGAGAAACCACACAGGCACAACCATCATGAAGGTTGCGAAGACAAATGGGTATTTGTGCTACCTCGTATACCATCAAATCGTTAGTTGGTTTGGCATGATGCGTTTTCTGTGGGACAGGTAGGAGCCTTGTAATTGGAGTCAGATTGGCGGGGGTTGAACCATCCTAAGTGATGATGATGCCTTGCCTTGTCCATACCATTCTCAAAATTGGTATGGTATAATTATGTTGCATTACAATATATTACAATAACCCATGATAAACCCAACAATTTCCACCATTTTTTAGCGTATGGTCTTTTTTTGATCCCCGCAAACGGGACAAATAGGATGGATGGCTGCTGGCCCAGTGCCAAAGCGCGATGGAATCAGAGTCTGGAACCAGACTCTTGGTTGTGCGGTTGGTTGCGGTTGAGCCTGCGAAAAGGTTCATGTCATTTTTGTTGGGCTCTGTTTTATAAAATGAGGGACCCACAGTTTTCATTGATCATGTTGGGAAAACTTTATGGTTTTGGGGTGTCACCGGTACCTGAATCCCCAATTTTCTGAAACACCCGCGTTTCCTGGACGTCCTTGACATTGGGACCATGAAGAGTCTGCCAAAATGGTTTCACCTTTAAGGGGTCCAGAAACCAAGTGTACTTGGTGCAAAGTTCTGGTCCAAGCGACGAGTGGATGAGAGTTGGTATCTGATACCCAAAAAGAATGCCCAAGAGTGTCCTAGCCTATATATGTATGTAGATTTATATATATATATAGATATATCTGTGTGTATTATATTACTGACCATGACCAATTTGTGAGGGCTCATGCTTTGTCCAGGAATACCAGGGTAACCTTCCCGGCTGAACCCAAGGACGCCTCAAGGAAGATTTGTACAGCCTCAATCGCTTCTTGGTTCGCCCGGCCACTGCGGGTCCTGAAGATGTGCCTTGGCACCGGGGCGAGCCAAGATCCTGTTCACTTGCCTTTGGAGCTATAGCATATAGTTAGATATGGTTACAGTGGATATGATTGCATGGAGATATATCATACTTATCTTATATATATATATATAGATGTGATTAGACTGTATAGATATTATATATATATGTGTATATATATATATAGATTAGAGTGTAGATATCTGTAGATAATTTTGTCATATTACGTAATGACTAATGACGTATATCACGATATATCACGAGATATCTAGAAATGTCACAGAACCTCACCAAACGCATAAGGACCTGTCCATGGCAACATCATATTCCTCAGAGAGACCGGGTAATGTTTTCCAGCATAAAAAACATGTGTTTTCCCCATCGAAAACGAAAGACCGAAAGGCTGTTTCCCAGTATGTTCATGGCCGTTCAAGGCCCATGTATATTGCAAGATATTTGATGTAATAAGTGTATGTAAATGTGATATATATATATATATACACACTGTATTTAATTTGATATATATATATAAAAGGATGCATCTTCCAACCCGAATGTTTAACCCAGTCAAAACTAACCCCAAGGTTCAACAATGTCGAGGACCCATAATGGAAACTCCTGCAGGTGCGCCTGCCGGAGAGTTGCTTGGAGCTTGCTGACAACGACACCGAACGACTTGAAATGGGAGTTTACGAGGTCGTTTGCAGTTCACAAAGTGATGGTACCTGGTGTTATTTCCAGTTTTCCCAATCTATAGGATTTTATTTGGATATATATATATATAGATATGCAAGTTCAAAGTTACTGTGACATTTAGTAACTTGGTCCGATTCCGATATGAAATGATATATCCGAGTGATCAGGCCAGTTGCTCACCAGCTGACTCCAGATCATCCAAGTAGAATGGCCGGTTCCAGTGGTTTGTCACTGGGATATGGCTGATTTTTTAACATGTTCTCGATCACATTCCCCAAAACGGTAGAACAGTAAAACTCCACTAAACTAGTTAGTTTGGGATACCATGTGTTTCCATTTCTCTATTTTGGGGGCTTACTTTGACACAGGCTACATCACATATCCCAAAAAGATAGATGGGTTCTTACTTTGTCAAAATAAAAACAAAAACAGATAGAACACTTGGAAACTCTTGGAAACTCTTGGAAAATCTTGGAAAATTCGACCATCCCTGGAAGGTACAGCACTTTTCGAGTCTTTGGGGGACTGCCATCGTCGCAGGCCCCGTCCGCGTCGGACCTTGCCACGATCACCTCGCGCCTAGCTCTGCCGCGGCCGAAGCGGAGCTGCTGCTTCGCTGAGCTCGTGAACCCAGCGGGGCTTCAGTGTGAGACTTGGAAAATGATTGGTTAAACATGATTATAATGGTTAACTTTAATAAGTTAACCATTGGTTAATTGGTTAATCATGATGAATTGACCATTATTAACTAATCAATGTTAATCAATGGTTAATTTATGTCAATCTATGGTCAATTGTGAATAAATAGTGGTAAACATCATGGATGAAGTACCATCCCATCCCCCGTTCACACTAAACACAAGCTACGTAACTGGCCCCCAGAGATGTGTAAATGCGCCGAAAAAAAGCCTGGTTTCTCAGGGGTGTTTCGATATATTACAGTGATGGGATTTCAATAGGCATGGAGGTTTAAGCAGCCCAAGTGGTGCTTAAGATGTATGAATATTTAAAAAAACATTATCTCAAGCAATAAATCATGGTTATGAGGTTGAGCCCATAGATTAAGACCCAGCAAAAACCAGAGGGTTTGAACATGTTTAATATGTATATAAGCCATTCATTGTTCCGTAATTTTGAGGAATATCCGTATGTTTGGATGGTAGTTTTGGAGAATGACATGTCACATTTGATGATTCATGAAGAAAGAAGGCATCACTTCACTGGATTAGTGACTTAGAATCTGTTGAATGGTACAATTAGTTCAATGATGACTTACACATGTTAAACGACTGAGCAACATGATTGTATGACTTTACCCATATGTTGTAATATGTGTACTTGATGGGATTGATGAGATTAATGGGATGATTGGTGGGATTCTTGGGGCAATGCCGGGGACAAGGTTGACAAAAGCATCATGTTTGAAGGGATTGATGGAATCGATGGGATGTTTTGAAACTACTTCGATTTTTCAGCTTGTGTTTTCAGCAGCGTTCGTTAAAGAATTGCTTACCATTTGCTTTTGCAATAAGGAATGCTCTGATACAATCGGATGGAAACAAGTAGAAATTCTAAGTCTGGGCGAGCCTTCGCCCGACTAAAATTCACGAATTAAACGCACTCTTTAAAATCTAGGGAGCACCACAGGTTTAACCATGGAATCTTCCAGTTCTTGACGATGCCAGACGATGCCATGGTTTTTACGGTCCTTTCTGAAACCCTGCTGTATGTAGTCAACAAGATAGGGGCCATCCATCGCCATCAGGAGTGCATACATATACATACATGCTAATATATCTACATATGTAGAAATGGTGTGGTATATTAACATATATGATGTAGATATATAAAAACATGTAGATATATTCTATCATATAACAGAACATCAATGAATATTATAGAACAACAGTACCAGTACCTTGAAATGGTGTGGTTTGGTCTGAAATGTCAGTCTTACAAAAAAAAAAACTCCTTCTCCAATCTCCGCGCCAGCATCAAGGACTACTTCGTCAGTCATAGTTGGGGACATCCCTTTGTCAGCAGCGTAGCGACACTCTCCAACTTCTTAAAGGGCGCTGATGGCAGCCACTCCACTGCTTTTTGGTACCTTAGCTGTCTTTGATTCTGTTTCTACAGATTTTCTGGCCCAGTGAGGCCGCGGGCCGGATCAGATAGCCTGCAACAATCCCACGTTCACCGTGTGTCGCACAACTCAAGAGCTAAAAGCCAAAAGTCAACATATCATAACATACCCAAAAATACCCCCAATGATTCTTGTGTTTCCAGGGCGGGAAATAAGACATGATCCGACCATAACAGGGGATGTTCATGAGGATGCAAGATGACACTGATCTGCCTGTGAAACTGGTACAGTACTGCACGACCCTCTCCTAAATGGAACAGGAAATTCCAAGACATGAACTAGATCGACGCCATATTGGGATCAGAGTATTATTATACCAATTATGCACCAATTTTTAGCATGATGATTTGACCCATTTTTAGCCATGTTTTCTTGCACGAATCGAAAGCTGGCGTTTGCAAATCCCAAGGATTTGCCTTTTTGCACTGAATCAGCACCGGCTGCAAGAGGAGCTTGGAAGCTTGGCATATCCAAACATAAAGGGGCAACAAGATAAAAGAAAGGTGAAAAGCATCGCCTTTTAAACCTTATATAGATTATCTTTTCTTGAGTGTACTATACTTGGATATATTTGATATAACGGTACTATCATGTGTACAATATCATTCTGTCATATTGTAATATATACACTAACCGTCACTAACCTCTATTGTAAAGATCATTAATAGTAATTCAGTGTACAACAGTTACTCACATATATCATGTATATAGTATTATGGGATACTATACCCTCTGGTAAACTGTCCCATAACTATGGAAAATCACCATGTTTAATGGGAAATGTCACTATAAATCACCATTTTCAATAGCTATTTTGACATAACCAGAGGGTACATTATTATACTATTGAATCACGTGCAGATCATGCCCTCCGGGGGGTCGCTGCGCGATGGTCAACGCCTTTTCCTAGGCACGTCTTCGGTGCGCGCCATGCCATTTGCCTATGGCCTGGCCAAGGCTTCGCAGGGCGTGCTGATGATCTTGGACGCTGGTTCACCATGGTCCTGGATGGGTTGAAGATGGGTTGAAGATGGGATTTTTCAATAGCTATTTTATAGTGATTTAATGGGATTTTATGGTGATTCAATGGGATATTAATGGGATTTACCCTCTGGTAATGACTGACATAGCTATTGAAAATTGCCATAGAAATAGTGGATTTAGCCATGAAAAATGGTGATTTTCCATAGTTATGTGACAGTTTACCAGAGGGTAATAGTATCTAATCATCTAACATGGGAATATATCTTTTGTTTTTCAATCATATTTGGTTTGTGATTTCAGGATGAGGGATGTAATGGGGAAAAAATAAACAAAAACATGATATCATTGGGATATAGTTCTATACTCTTGGGATGCCAGTTATATTTGGGTGCGTTTGAGAATCAGGGATGCACCCAAAAGGCAATTTTAATTCGGGAAGACTGATAAACCTTTCAATTTTGGGGATGCAATCCTTTTCAGACATACCCATATCCGCAAACTATTACTGTAGCTATTTTACTGTGAGAATCAGGGACCAGGGAAATGTGGTTTTAGACCCAGCTTCCAATCAAGTCCAAAATGTCCGCTTACAGATACGAAATTCCACATCAAAGAAAGAGAAACCAGATTGAACCTACAAAACCCATGGGCTCAACAGTTTTTTCACAGTTTAGCTACATTTGCTTGCCATTCAGGCCGCAAGTCACTTTAGATGCCACCAATGGATCCATAAATCCTTACCTTCTGATCACCAAACATAGCAACGGAAAATCCCCAATTTACTTCAATCATTTTCCAAGCTTAAAAAAATGTTTAAAAAATAAACCTCCTTATGCCATAGGCCACGAGATGTTCCAGCCTTGTGCTCCAAAGGACCAAAAGGTGGAACCGTTTCGTCGTCTGTGGTGCCTCTACGAAGCCCAGAGGGCCTGGGAGCTGCACCGACCACTCCAACTGCTGTTGGACGGTGAGACAGACGGAGGTAGGGCCAGAGGGGAGATGCCCTCCGCTTCTCAAACGTGGCTGGCAGGAAAATCATGGAAAATCCACTAGAAATGGTCGTTTTCATATGTTTCAATGGGAACATCATCTATAAATATCTATCAATGGGGTGATTGTTTCCATTGCCATGTTTGATTGAGGGTATCTCAAAAAAATGGGGGGAGAAGATAGATGGGAATAGCAAGAAACCAGCAAGATTTTTCAAGATTCATCAAAACACAGCCAGAATCCATCGGAACTCATTCAACATTCTATGTGCATGTGGTAAACCCTATCATAAACTGTCCCCAAAGTCACCATTTTACGGGTGCTATAAACCATCCCCCAATAGTAGGTGTATGGCAGCCAGGGTTTCCCACATTGATTTTTTTCCGTGCCGGATCGGTCATCCCACAATGTAGCCATGGCAGGTTCTGGACCATCTTTGGCCCTGCTTGTAGCCGAAGAACTCCAAAAGCTCTCGGCATTCGATGCCTCAGCCAGTGACTCGCCTTTGCTGGTGGCTTTCAGGTATCAACCACGGAAAGAAGAGGAGTGTCAGTGGATTTTTAGGCCCCAAACGGCAAAATGTTCCATCAGAAGGGAGTCTAATTGCACCTTTTTTTATGCAGCACTTCCTCGCTCACGATATGATTGCTTCCGCCAAATATTCAACAACACCGTTGAAACCTGGGTTTTTTTTTTTTGTATTGGATCTATTCATTTTTGCATTCCAAATATGAGCAGTATCTAGTGATTACTGGGGGAAGCGCTTGGAAAAGACTAACAGCAATGACAAGAAGAACCATCTCCTCAGATGTTCCAGGTGTTGCAGGGGACAAGATCAAGATTTGGCATCAGGTCATCAATCGATCGGCCGCTGGCCAGCATCAACCGATCGGTCCAGATGGCCAGCCCCAAGGAAGATCCGAATGAAAACATGTTTTGGCGGAAGGTCAAACTCAAATCATAGTTATTTACATATTATATATTATATATATATACATTATACACGTCATCTCATCAAGGTTGGTGCATGTTGCTGCATTCTCCGATCTTCACCAGGTTTCAGGGTCTCATTTATTCTGCGCCACGCGCGCCCAATCGATCCGTTCACCAAGCCTGCAGGTGCAGCGAGCCTTTCCCATGGCGTCATTTGAAGCTCAGTTTGACGGAAGCCACTGCCGCATACGTGGTTTTGGACCCTCATGGTCCACAGATTGCAACGGTTGTGGGGACTGTTACCAGAAGCTTTTAGAGAGAATGCATTGCAAGAGATGGCTTGGTATTCTGTATTCTATTGTATTCTGCATCTGGTTGGTGGTTAATATACTGTTAATAATGGTTATTATATGGTTATTATATGGTTAATGATATTCTTATTTCATTTTCTTACTGTAGTTCTGGGCGGCGAGTTTGACGGAAAGATCCTTTGGATAATCGTTGGAGCTGAGCAAAGTGTTTGATTTGGCGGTCCTTTGGATACGATGTGAACGCTCCAAGTGATGTGGGTATCGCTCAAAATCCAGTACCTTTGGTTAACATCATTACATGATGGATGTTCACTGATGTTAAAATCCCCCAATTCTATCCAATTCTGACCCTCTATTTTTGTGACTCTAAATGTCGCTCCATTTTGAACATGAACAGATCTACATTACTAAGCCATGTTTTTTTTTGGGGGGGTGATCTTTCAATATACCCTCTGGTAATTTAACATAGCTATGGAAAATCACCATTTTTAATGGGTAACTCCACTATAAATTGCCATTTTCAATAGCTATGTCAGTCATTACCAGAGGGTAACGCATGTATTAAAGGGGGGAAGGGATTGGTATCGATTTTCACCCATCCACCAGCAGCACCAGCCATCGAAAAAATCGCCGAGGTTCAGCCACTTTGATTCAAAGGTCAGCCAGCTCCTGGCCTCGCCGGTCTTCCGATTCTGCTTGGATGCTGGTGCCTGGGGCTGGGGCCCATGGTTTCCGTAGATCTTGGTGATGAATTTGGGGGGGCAAAGATGCCATTTCGTTAGCTAAGTTGATTTAGAACTCATTAGTTTAGTTTTTCATAGTTTTTCGGTCTTCTTGGTGATTACAATGATAATTTTAATCGTTAACAATGGTTATAAATGGCTATCATGTCTTATAAATCAACCATTTTTTTCTGGGGTGGCAGCACCTTGTGACCCAAACTCTCCCAACGTCTCAGATGCGAAGCCCGCAACGCTCCGGCCAGGCGACGGCCCGTTGGCACTGCGCTATCTGGGCCTCGGGGCTGAAGCTTCACGGCAAGAGCTTCGATGCTGCGAGAAGTTGCTGCCGAAATCCCTGCAGGAGGCGTCCATTGTAAAACACCCTTGGGGGGGGGTAGTTTCAACGAAACCTGGGAGTTAACTGAGTTAACCATGAAAAAATGGGGATGTAGTTACCAGCAAAACTGGCTCAAAAAAAACTCAATCTAGTATCATCTAGCTTGCATTTTGGAATATGTTTTATGTTCCATCCTATTTGAGATGATGATCCCTGGTGACTGATAGTTAATTATGTTTCTCGGGGATTGAAACCACCAAGACATTCCAAGACTTGGATAAAGGGAAAATCTGTAGGCATCCAAGTTTCTTCAGGGGAAAACCATGGTAGATGTGTCCTTAATCCGATCCAATGAGGTATGGGTTTGTAAAAAAAAAGATCAAACGTATATCCCCTGAATAATAATATATATATATATGTGTTTATTTATTTATTTTTTAAAAAAAAATATTTAAAAAAACTACATTTCAGTGGGGAAAATGATAACGAATCATAGGACGGGTGCCTTATTTTCAGGCCCCGAACGCTGGGTGGGATGAACCAGGATATAGATCAGTTCATTGCTGGCTGATGCGTCTTGGGTCAAAAACAACCAAAGACACATCTCAAAATATTATACATGTGATTGCACTTGCCTATAGATATATATATATAGTGTGTGTATGTATGTATGTATGTATGTATGTATGTATGTATGTATGTATGTATGTATGTATGTATGTATGTATGTATGTATGTATGTATGTATGTATATTGTTGTATATTTATGCATTATGTGCAAAAGAACCTTGTACACGCGCAGTGGACATGATGCGGGCATACATATTAATACGCTCCTTTGCGCTATGTTTATTCACCAACAATGGGCGAGAAGAAACACAATATTTTTGTTCCATGAGGAATCCAACTGGATATTCGATCGGTTTGGGGATGTTTGGAGGTATCCCCACTTTTCAACCCCAAACTATAAAATCCATGAAATCACCATGGATTTCTGCCATGTTGTTTCTTCGCCAATTTCAGATTTCACCTGGACAGCTGAAGCGGCGCCAGAGTCGGCAGGTATGGGTGTCCAACCCTTCCTGTGGAGAGTGCCGACTTCTCCATGTCTACGCACACCTGGGAGATCTACAAAACTTGGACTTTCTGCTCGCAGCTCGAGCAGCCGCTGGATGCAGATCCAGCTATCTTATGCTATCTTCTGAAACCGGAAAAACTATGATGTTTTCTGAGAAAATCTCAGGAGTATCCCTATATCTAGGAAGCAATCAAAGAATATACCATAAGGTTTCAGATCCATAGATTGGACATCAGGGTCAAGTGTTTGACTATATTTGACTACGTCTTTTGTTTCAGGGCCCCTACAGTTGGAAGATGCAACGGCGCGGAAGTTTCTGGCTTGCCAGGTGCTAACTCTTCAATTAGTTGGTGAGTTGGCTCGCTAGTTATGAGTTGATTTATAAACCTACCTAACCATAGTTATTTATAACTACCTTAGTATGATTAACCGAGTTATGAGTAGATTAACTGAGTGATGAGTAGATTAACTGTTGATTATGAGTTGTTTTGTTTAACCACCATAGTTCCAACAGGTGTCTCTACTCCTAACTCATAAGCCAACCAACTCTGGGCACCACCTCCCCCGGCCCTTCAGGATCCGACGGAGCGCGCCAAAGATCCCAAGCAGCGCGCGGCGTTGCACTTCGCGGTGAAAGCGGGACATGACGAGTGCCACATGGCGGTGACCGTGGCGCCGTGCCACCCTGGTGGCCGCTAAACTAACGTAGATTTATGGAAAATCCTTGGGGAATCAATCAGTTTCTGGTTTGGAAATGGTCTACAAATTAATCGAATGGTTGAGTTTCCATATCTTAGTTTTCTGAACATATCCATGTTAGTTTTCGGAAGGGTATTTTAAAGATGCCAGTATCATCCAATTGCTTTACATGGTGGTTGATCCAAGTGATCAAGAGAGTGGGGTGCTACTCTCAGTCACGACTCCCAGTCACGACTCCCACACCTCATGGGCTCGTAGTGAACCTGCGGAGTTGTGAGATTGCAATATGGGCATATATGGGCATTTTATTTCGACAGTGTAGATGATTTTCAAGAATCATGTCAATGCAAACCAGATTTCATAATCATTGCTTGCATTTGTTGAGGTAAATTCCTCAGTTTTCCTGATTTGTCCTGATTCTTCGGAAGCCCCAAAAACTTGGGTCCCCTCCACCCTGGTTACCCTGAGGCGCAAAGCGGCTATTGGAAGGCAAGGCATTGGCACATGACCCAGACGCTGAGATTTTCAAGCACCCAGACCATGCAAGTACCCTCCAGTAAACAAACATAGCTATGGAAAAGGGATCATGTATACAGTAAGTAGATGACCTACTTTTTCAAATTGTGATTTTCAATAGCTATGCTAAATTATCAGAGAGCATCATACGGATTTATTTGGGTCATGTTGATCCATTTGGGGGCATACGTAGGTGGATGGCAAGGATGAGGAATGAGGACGCAACCCAATCATCAAACATCGGGATTGCTATTGTTGCTAAGAAAACAAGACATCACTTCGCAAGAAAATGCATTTTTCTAGCCATCAACATGCGTCAGGCTTTGGGACATGTCAAGGATGCAGAATCAGCCCAACAATCAATTTTTTGTTCAACCACATCAAATCGGTGAATAAGGGGACATACAGAAGTACTCATACAAAATCAGACATTTTAAGACCCACCAAGACTGAACACTCCGCATAGATTCATCTTATAAGCGTGAGCTTTGCATAATAAGGGGACATCCTATTCCATCCCAAGTGTCCTACTTAAATCCACCACATCCAGCATGAAGCCTTGATGATGCACGCACCATTTGGCACTGAAAAATTCCGCTGAACTCTGCGACACCTCGTGTAGCAAGGATAAGAACCGAGAAACTCCACTGCAGATAGCTGCATATGGAGGCAACACGGCGGCTGAGAAGTGGGTCAGTCGAGTCATTAATGGGGTTTTCCCAAAGAAGTTGAAGTCAACCCCCAAAAGTTGGAGCAAGAAAATTGGACAAATTGGGATCCACTCACTGCACATACAATTTTACTATTTTATATAAAGAAATCAATAACATATATATATACACACATATATTTAGTCATAGTCTTAAAATATAATCACGAAATGATATATTTGTTCCACGAAAAGTTGTCTACATTGACACTCCATAGACTGCTGGACAACAATGACCGGGACTTTCACGCATTTACTGCATTTCTTGTTGATATGATGCATGAAGCTGGGTAAGTGATTGTAGTGTCCAAACTTGAAAACCATTTTTGCAATTGCAATCCAAGCACCTTAAACTCCATCATCAGCAGCATCAATTGTGTCACTCGTGATTGGCACATAGCCTTACAAGTCATTAAAAAATGCCTGTAAAGTTTCGTAAAAGGAGTACCTTCAGGCTACTAGTAGATGATCAAAACATGAATGACAGAAGAGCGAAGCCAAATGGATTCTTACCTGGTGAGTTTCTGTGGTCAGTCGCCATCCACTTGATAGCCCCAACTGACACTGTGTCACTGTGTTGGTAGTAAAAAATAAGGTTTTTCCCACAAAAGCAGATCTTGGGAAAGGCGTTGGGAAAAAATACATGCAGTTTTTGTGACACAGAAACACCTTTGGTGAATCTCCATTTCCTTGCTCAACCTACAAAAGTGTGGAACATATTATTATTGTCATATCTCCAGCATTCCCACATTTTTTCCCGGAATTGAATTGAACCATCGAATTTTGATAGGGCGTTGGTTGCTTAACAACCAAATTCCACATGTTTGGTCGCTTTCAACCGTATTTAGTCAAATTTACTGTACTCGTCCATTTTGGGTGGAGACAACATGAGAAAACCTATGTCATTGGATTAGTTGAAGGGAAACTCAGGAAACCGTGGGTTTATCAATCCAATGTGTCTTGGTAAATGGCTACCCTCTGGTTATGACTAACATAGCCATGGGAAATGGCCCATTGAAATAGAGGTTTACCTATTGAAAATGGTGATTTTCCATTGCTATGTTAAATAACCAGATGCTACCAGTTTTATATGGAATATCCCCACTTATGCGATGAACTATGGGTTATGTATAGGATTACCCACCACGTATCCTAAGTGGGATGTGCATCCAAGTAATGGTTTTTAATTAATGGTGAAATCATCGATAGTGACTTCAGAAAATCATCTATCAGTTCGGATGGTATGATAAATACATCTAACACTATATACAGAATATATAGCATATTATATAGTAGAGAAACCATCTATAATCATGATTCTCCATTAATAACCATATATTTGGATGAATTTCCCACGAATAGTAATTAAAGCCAACATACTTGGATCATTATTCATGATTTCCCGCAAGAACTTGGATGATTTTCCCAATAATAACCACGCTATGGGCATTAACTATCGCTTATAACCATCAATATATCATTAGTGAGTAACAAGCTATTCACCACGAATAATTAACTATCACTCTTATATATACATACACGCCTAGATTTAGATACTATTTATTTATCTATCCAGCTATCTATCTATCTATCTATCTATCTATCTATATATTTACTATATATTTGTCTATCTATCTATATTTCTTTCTTTCTTTCTTTCTTTCTTTCTTTCTTTCCTTCTTATGTTTTCTTTCTAATAATCTATCTATTCTATCTAATCTGTCTATTCTATCTAATGAATCTATCTAATCTGTCTATTCTATCTAATCTATCTAATCTATCAAATCTTTTTAATCTATCTAATCTATCTAATCTATTTAATCTATCTAATCTATCTATTTGATTTAATATATCTAATCTATTTAATCTATCTAATCTATCTATCCAAATCTATCTATCTATCTATGTATCTATTTATCTATCTATCCATCCATCCATCCATCCAAATCTATCTATCTATCTATCTATCTATCTATCTATCTATCTATCTATCTATCTATCTATCTATCTATCTATCTATCTATCTATCTATCTACTCTCTACCTATCTACTATCTCTATCTATCTATCTATCTATCTATCTATCTATCTATCTATCATCTATCTATCTATCTATCTATCTATCTAGTCTATCTATCTATCTATCTATCTATCTATCTATCTATCTATCTATCTATCTATCTACCTCTCTACCTATCTACCTCTCTATCTATCTATCTATCAATCTATCAATCTACCAGTCTATCAATCTATCAATCTATCAATCCATCAATCCATCTATCTATCTATCTATCTATCTATCTACCTCTCTACCTATCTACCTCTCTACCTCTCTATCTATCTATCTATCTATCTATCAATCTAACAATCTACCAGTCTATCAATCTATCAATCTATCTATCTATCTATCTATCTACCTCTCTATCTATCTATCTATCTATCTATCTATCTATCTATCTATCTATCTATCTATCTATCTATCTATCTATCTATCTATCTATCTACCTCTCTACCTATCTACCTCTCTACCTCTCTATCTATCTATCTATCTATCTACCTCTCTATCTATCTATCTATCTATCTATCTATCTATCTATCTATCTACCTCTCTACCTATCTACCTCTCTACCTCTCTATCTATCTATCTATCAATCTATCAATCTACCAGTCTATCAATCTATCAATCTATCAATCCATCAATCCATCTATCTATCTATCTATTTATCTGTCTATCTATCTATCTATCTACCTCTCTATCTATCTATCTATCTATATATATATATGGGTACCAGCTCCAGGTTTTACCTCCCTGGTGCAGCTTTTGCTCCGCGCCGGTGCCGTGGTGAACGCTGCGGACCGCGACGGCTGGACGGCGCTGATCTGCGCGGCACGCGCGGGGCACGGGGAGACCGTGGAGTGCCTCGGTGCCACAGAGGGGTTGTCATGGTGAAGGGGCCTGGAAGGTCCTGGAAGATCCATGAAAATTGTGATTGAATGGGATATTAGTGGGGATATATATATATAAATTGAAATAGGGATATATAATGATAAACTTCAACATACTTCAACTATCAGAAATTGGAGGATCTACCCATATTGGGGGATGGGAATAATCAGTCGATTGGTTAAGTTTTAAAGCCAAGAGATACAGAACATTTCGGGATTAAACCACCCGCCCAATTGATGGTCTTTTTGGCCAGAAATTGGCACTGGACATCACTTACCATTGAAATCTCACATCGAACCCTGCGAGAGAGCTATTGAAATTTTGAAAGATGATGATCCGATTGGAAGTTTGAATCTTGGTGTTCACTCCTCAAGTTTTGAGATTTACGGGAACAATTAATGGAGAGACATCCATAAACAAACATACTCATGCGGATACGCAGGTACTGGTCCATACATACTTTATTGGGGAATATGGCATGTGATAGAACCAAATGTGGGGTGGTCGCTGTTGCTATTAACTAAGCGGACATGTCCCAAAACTTAGGCTCTAGGTCCACATAATGACCATTTTACAGAAGACATTTTTTTTCTTCGAGTTTGCTAGTTGCTAACAATTTAACCATAAATAGGAACATTTGGGAGGTTGCTAACAATTTCAGCATTGCGCTGGCAGTCGGCTCCACGGAACATTGGATTTCGTTCATTTCTGGAGCTTCGCTTTCATCCACAGAGGGACCATCCTTCAGAAGATCTTCATTGTCTGAAGATCATTGAAATTCCGGAAAAGATCATTGTTTCAGACTTCCTTCATGCCAGATGGATGATCTTGATAGTTTTGCATGTTGCATTCCACCAGTATCATCCAAAAACAGTTCTTGAGCTCGATTATTTTATTATATATAAAAAAAACTCTACATTGTCCCAAAAACCCATCCATTTGTCACATGAATAGATCAGTGTCAGTCAAAAGGGCCCATTTCCCAAGGCTCCTGTTGCTGAACAAAGCCTCGCCACATGCGATGGATTCCTTGGGTCGAAACGCCTTTCGACATGCCAAGATGGCTGGCTACGACTTGCCACAGCTGGAGAAATGCTCAGTGCTTTGGAGGATTAGATGGTCATTTTCCAATCTTGTGTTGTTCCAGCCTTGCAAATCATATAAGCCACCGCAAAATCTCCGGCAATCGGAAACATGTTTTTGGGCAGGACATTGGTTTTCAAAAAATGTACAAATACAAGGTAAGCGATGGGACCTTCCCAAATAGCGATGCCCCCCTTGAAGGTCATGTCATGCCTGTGCACGTACATAATCTTTCTTCAAGCGATACCGCCCAAATTTGACATACATCATTTTAATGCAGTCAGTCATGTGGTAAGCGATGGGACTTTTCCAAATTTGTCGACGTCCTTTTTGTGAACCTTGATTGCTCGCTCTCCTAGAGTTACAGTAGTTCATCCATCGTTGCACTTGTTGGGCGGGACAAAACACCAGAAACATATGTACCATGGTCAAAACAGGGTTTATGTCCCCCTCATACCCCAAAAAAACACCTATGACCATTATGACCTATGATGCCTATGATGATTTAGTATATAAAGCATCCCCAATGATGGTGGGATGACAGTACCCCATGGCCATCATGTTTTTGACCATGGCCATCTGAGTCTCCCAAGGAAATGCTGGAGGAGGACGATTTGGAGTGTCAGATGGTAGACCGCTGAGAGTGCCATGGGCCATCGACCATCAGCTTGGGACTTCAGGTGGTTTCAAAGTCCAGTTCATCCCATCCCCCAAAGGTTAAGCTCCCTTGTTTGGGCCACCAATATCACGGACTGCTTCTGGGCTGGCACGGCAAGGATGCAGTGCTGCGCCAGGTGTGTGGTCAGCCGCGTTGAAACGTTTGCTGCCCTCACCTTCGAAGATTGTCGCAGCATGGTCCCCAAAGTGGGCCGTTGAAAAAGCGAAGGGGCCTGCAACTGAAAGCTCAGCGTGCCTTCAACGTGGAACTAGTGTTCCAGGGCCTGAGTCCAGCCAGTAATTGTGGCAACTTCACATCACTTTTTTGAATGGGAAGTATCCACAGTGGTAGATGTTCAGTATGCGTGTGTGTGTGTGTTTGCTTACAGAGGGTAGGATGGTAGCACTGTATCGCTGTACATGTTACCGGTGATGTGATGGGTCATAATTCTCAACAACAGTTCTTCGGGAGCGAAATTACATGTAGAATGAACAGTTTTGTTTTTTGATATTTCAGGATTAATCATGCTCCACAATAGAGAGTTGGCATGAGTTGGCTGAAGATGGCACTATCGAAAGACTTTGCAGAAGCTAATCAAGTTGCTGTATTTATCCCATAGTTACTATAGTATACTGTATACTGTATACTATAGTTGCTATAGCACCATTTGCTATTTGACAAATGGGTGATTGTTGTACGCAGGGATAGAGAGCTGCTGTTCCAGCCGGGCATGGCAGGTGGACTGTCATGGCAAGATGTTGATGACGGTTCATCAAAAGGAGCTTCCGTTTGGGTTCAGTTTGTGGCGTGTCTCAACGGGGGATTGGCAGCCATGACCATAGCGGCCATAGCGGATCAGATTGGATTGTCATGTATGCCTTGTGTGAATCACTTGGGACAGGAGAAAGAGGAGGCTGTGAAGATTTCTCGTGACTTGGCAAATTCGGCAAGTTGCCTTGATGCTGGATGAGATCCAGTGATGGGCTGTTGGTAACAGTCAGGAGTGGAAGGATGATCAGCATAATCATGATGGTGGTGATGCTGATGCTGATCCAAGAATCAGTACCAGGATGAGGTAGCCTGCAGCTGAGGCATGATCGTGAATTTTGCCGCCTGCACCAACGCAGACGTGCTGGCTGCTGGGCACATACTTGAGAGGGTCATTCCTGGAAGCACCTTATGACCTTAATATAGGTGCTACAAGTGCCACTGAAGCTTCAATCCAGCCAAACCTGCCAAAGACTCTACGTCCTCTAGGGAGACGTTGGTGAAACTCTGAAACTCTGAGTCACCAAGTGCAGACACTTTGACATACTTAGAATTTCCTGCTTTTTTGATAGTAACATAGCTATGGAAAATCACCATGTTTAATTTTTAATGGCTAAATCAACTATAAATTGCAATTTTCAATAGCTATCTTAGTTTACCAGAGGGCAAGTCATAGAAACAAATTGTTTGTCGTTGGCGTCGCTGGTTGTCAGGTGATGGGAAGCACAGGTCTCAAGGAGTGGGACCGTGGGGGTTTCCAGAAATGGGGGTGCCCAATAGCTGGATGGTTTATAGAAAATCCATCTATAAATGGACGATTTGCCCAATAAAATCAATCTATGATTTGCCGATTTGCCCAATAAAATCCATCTATAAATGGATGATTTGGGGGTACCCCCCATGACTTTGGAAACCACCAGTCTGACCTGGAAGAGGGAAAGGTCAAACAACATCCCAGGAGGGTCGCTCCAATTGCTTCCAGAGGACCACCCTGGGTTCCTTGTAGCCAGGGAGATGGGAGCGGTGCTATTCCCAGCAGTTGGCTAGTTACTGCTAGTTCTTGGCCCCACTGTTTGCAGATCATTCTTGAAGTGATACAGTGATACAGTATGTATTTAAATATTTAATTTGAATAAGTATATGTATGTGTATGTGTATGTGCATATATAATCTACCTCCGTTTTAAGTTCATCTTCTGGTTGCTTTGAAATATGCACTTAAATAACGTAACTGCACGGTCATACACACCCCAGAGGCCTTAGCTATACACAATGCATAGAATATAATTATCTGTAACAGCTAAATCTATTTCTACATACATCTCCTTTTATCTCTCATGCTCTCATGTACAGCTAGAGTTGGCCAGTTGTACCCTCTAAGACTGTAGATCCTGGATGTGTGTTGAGCCCGCACTGTTTCCGTCTCAGTCTTGCCCAGGCTCAAGCGCCCACTTAGCAGCGCTTGAGGTCATCAGGGGCAGGATAGAGTGATGGAATATGATGGGCCTTTGGTTTGTAGTGTTGCATAAGATGCTGTACGAGATTGGATGTTTATCGGAATGTAACTAGCGCTGGGAGAAATCAAGCGTTACTTTTCGTTGTCTCCTAGCCAATGAGTAGTGGTCGCTATGCTAGAGTTCAACACTTCAACATGTGAAACGAATGGCACATCATGTCTTTGATGTTTTTTGTCAAAGGTCAATTCTCTTTTTTTTGCACCCCAATGTATGAATCTGAAAATGTCCAATTCTGTTTCAATATATGTGAATATATACCATCTGGTTATTTAACAGTTCGCCATGGAAAATCACCATTTTCAAGAACGGTAAACCATCTATTTCTATGGGCCATCTATACCATGGCTATGTTAGTCATAACCAGAGGTTGATCCATTAATCCATTATTGTTAAATGGTTGATTTCCCCATTAAAACCTCCATTTATAAGGGTTTTCCATGGCTATGTTAGTCATAACCAGATGGTAAATCCCATTAATATCCCATTGAATCACTATACAATCCCATTAAATCACTTATAGATGGTTTATCTGTGAATATATATATATATACATATATATACATATATATATGTCAATGTCTGTTTGCCAAACAATGAATTTTTGCGCCGCTTCGCCCGCTTCGCTAGGCACCCTGCTCCGTGGTTCTGATTCGCCCCGGCTGCCGTGTGGACCCAAAGCTGGCCACGGTCTTTATGGTGGCACCTCGGCGCAGCCACCATTTCTTGGGAAAAAATGGGTGGGTTTTTGCCCAAAAGGAAGGGTAATCCGTGGTAAATGGTGATTCATATAATGAACATCATGGTTATAGATGTTAGTAGTGATTATAGATGTTAATGTTGTGATCAATCAGTGATGACAACTGTTATTTTTCCGCCATGGTAATCCAAACCAAAAGCTTAGCCGGGCAGCCGGGTCAGTTTCCAAGGCAGTGGATGGGAGCCTCCATTCCCAATATGCCCTGCAGATGTGCACGGAATGGGCGCGACCTGACAAGGTCGGATTCGTTCGTTCAGAATAGCTGGATGGTTACCCGGCCTGGTAAACGTTTACATAGCCATGGTATAGATGGCCCATAGAAATAGTGGATTTTCCCATGAAAAATGGTGATGTTCCATAGTTTTTTGTATGTTTACCAGAGGGTAATGGAAAATCCATCTATAAATGGATGATTTATGGGTACCCCTATGACTTAGGAAATCCCCATGTGTGACGTTTCAATAAAATTGAACCCAATTTTGGAGAAACTTTATGTCAAGTAGGCCGAAGGGGGGTGCTTCGCAGCTGCGGACCTGAGTCATTTTCACCTACATCAGATATCTCATTAACATGCATGAACCATCATTAATAATGTATATTTTATATATACATTACATATAAATGCGTATATATTGTTTGACTGCATGCGTGTTTGTAAAAATATGTTCACTCTCTCCCAACCATACCATCAAAGACAAGACATGTCAGCGCCATGTTTCTTCCAGGATGAAATCGTATGCCGCGTCTTTGGACCTAGCGACTTCACGGAGCCAGTGGAGAGGACGTTGATGGAAAAGATTCGAAAAAAGGGGATATGTATTGATCAAAATGATCATTTTGTGTCGTTGTAAAGAATTTACATATACAATCATATACATACATATACATGATAATTATAATGCATATGTATGTGTATATATTATATATATATATATACATGTGTGTGTTTGTGCGTGTGTAGAGTATTTGACATTTAAACAGATGCCTGGAGTTTGTGAACGTGATGCAGTCGATGATGCTTTGTTTCAGCCCCCTCGAGTTGCAGGATGTGTACAGATCAGCTCCAGGCCGTGATGAGGACGAAGAAAGATTCTTGGTGCCAAGTTTCAGGAGAATTATGGGATAAAATGGATAGACCCTCTGGTAAACATATAAAAAACTATGGAACATCACCACTTTTAATGGGAAAATCAACTATTTCGACTGGGCCATTTTCAATCGCTATGTTTCAATAGCTATATCATTATTCATGGGGATTCAGCCAAACCCAGCCAGCCCGAACTCCAAAAAGCACAGTAAATGCGACCGATTCGCCACATATCGCCCGGAAAAAAAACGTGGCTGTTGATGGTCAAGACGCCCCTAGGTCCCTATAGGTACCCTCTGGTGAACTAACATAGCAATGGAAAATCACCATTCTTAATAGGAAAATCCACTATAAATAGCCATTTTCCATTGCTATGTTAGTTCACCAGATGGTACATCTTTCCATCTTTGCCCGGGGTCACCTGTCTGGGGCGGAGTCGGTTGAATCCCCGGCGTAAGCTAAAATTTTAGAAGCAGGCTGCCTCAAGGCAACATTGGTTGTGTTTGATGACAGCTAGCCTCTGGTAAACTAACATAGCTATGAAAAATTGCCATTTATAATATTTATAGTTGATATACCCTTTAAAAAAGGTGATTTTCCATAGTTTTTTGTATGTTTACCAGAGGGTATCCCATTGGCCCATTGAGTTCGGCCCAGTGTTCCGTCGCTTGGGTTTGTGATTTGTATGAACAGTATCCAGGATCCAGGATCCAGCCCTTCCTGTTACTAAACTCACCAGATAATAAAAAGATATAAAAACCTAGGTCCATCTCCAATTTTGGAAAAAATCAGGTTGGCCAATTTGATTTTTAATTGATCCCCTTTTTGAAAACAAATTCAACATAAAGCTACTATTTGTGGGTTTCACCCCCTAATAATAAAAACTAGTCAACCCCGGGGTGTTTTTTAATTAGGGACCGTCCGAAAATTTTAGTTTCTGTTTAATTAAGGGTTTTAATTTATTATTAGGGCCCGCTTCGAAATCCAATTTTTGGCAATATTCACCCCGCTTCGCGTGGGGTGGCCGCCCACACCGCAGGTTTATTTCGGTCCGTGAGAGGGGCTAAGGGTGGTTTTCCCCCGTGGGGGCTCCCCAAGCTAAGAATTTTCACTTTCCCCCCCCCCCGTGGGGGCTCCCCAAGCTAGGGAATTTTCACTTTTCCCCCCCGTGGGGGCTCCCCAAGCTAGGGAATTTTCACTTTTCCCCCCCGTGGGGGCTCCCCAAGCTAGGGAATTTTCACTTTTCCCCCCGTGGGGGCTCCCCAAGCTAGGGAATTTTCACTTTTCCCCCCCGTGGGGGCTCCCCAAGCTAGGGAATTTTCACTTTTCCCCCCCGTGGGGGCTTCCCAAGCTAGGGAATTTTCACTTTTCCCCGCCGTGACAGCTTCCCAAGCTAGGGAATTTTCACTTTTCCCCGCCGTGACAGCTTCCCAAGCTATGGAATTTTCACTTTTCCCTCCCTTGGAGGCTCTCCAAGCTGCGGAATTTCAAATAGCTAGACAACGACGCCTAGATAGTCCCCCAAATCCCGTGTTCTTTGAATGTGTTTCCATGTTTTTGCAATGGTTTCCTTCAAAGCACGGTACTTTACACTTTTGTCGCCATAAAACCGGTCGAAAACATCATGTTCGACAATGCTTCCAATTCCCTTATCTCCCGAACCGTTGAAAATACCGCTATTTACAGTGTTTTCTTCAATTTTTCCATGTGCCAATGCCGGTAGCCAACTCCAACATATATATATAAGAAATCCTTTCAAAACATTGTTTTTGACAGTGTTTTTCCAATGTTTCCAGTCAAACAGACGGTAACTTACACGTTTTTTGCCATAAAGGCAGTAAATCCTTCCAAAACATTGCTTTTGACAGTGTTTTTGTAATGTTTCCAGTCAAGCATACGGTAATTTATACGTTTTTTGCTATAACGTCAGTCCAAAACACTTGTTTTTGCAGTGTTTTCAATGCTCTGGCATCCAAAAACCCTGCAAAATCTTGCTATGTACAATGTTTTTTTCCATTTTTGGCCGTTTTTCCATTGCCGGAAAGCTACCAAAATGACCCAAAATTCCATTTCAATACCCTCTTGCGCTCAGACACCCAAAAATCCTCGAAAAATGTCGAAAACACCACCGTATTCTGGTCTCGGTGCGAAACCGTTTTTGGGGTCTGGTCTCGGTGCGAAACCGTTTTTGGCCCCCCCCCAGCTAAAGCTGATATAGCGACTGCTATATTAACAAATGTGATTGAGCATTTAGTGTAGCTGTTTCCCCCCAATAAGCACGCCTTCACCGCCAAAGCGGTGTGGGCGGATTTTAATTGCGTTATCAAAGGAAATTTAATTGATTTTTAAATCGAAAACATAGTTTTCTTAATTAAGGGTTTAAGTTTATTATCAGGGTTTGCTTCGAAATCCAAGTTTGGGCAATATTTTAATTGCGTTATCAAAGGAAATTTAATTGATTTTTAAATCGAAAACATAGTTTTCTTAATTAAGGGTTTAAATTTATTTTTAGGGTCCGCTTTGGTTCCCTAATAAATACCCCCTAATAATAAAAACTACCTGAGGTGTCTATTTTGGGGGGTGTCAGTATTAGGGGGAGAGGATTAAATGGCCAGAGATCAACATTTTCCATATTTTCCCGAAGAATACGTAGAGCTTTTCCCGATTTTTTTCACCGCACCCGGGTATAGCCTGGCTGTTTTTCATGCTTCCCCAGGTGGAATATGCCGTGATCCCCACCGAACTGGATGAGACTGCCGATGTGCATGGGGACGATTTGAGCGACGCAGCGAAGCAGTGCCGTTTTCGTGCGCCCAAGGGTTGGAGGGTTGGAGGGTTGGAGGCGCCACGTTCAATTGGAATCCGAATTTTCAGGCAAGGCAGGCAGATATGATATCAATCATCCAGATATATATCAATATATCAATCATCCAGATGATGCAGATGTATATATATATATAAACATATAAACATTCTGTCAACATTGCCAGACGGTGGCTCCACTTTGATTCATTGATGCAATGATGCACAGTGCAGCCCGATAAATGTTCCCAGCCTGGAAGGCATAAATGGAACTTGTCTAAAATGAGTGGAGAGTGTTTGGAAGATCAATCATGCATGTCATATATATATACGCATATATATATATATATATGTAGACATATACACACACACACATATATATATATAAATTAAAGTATGTATGATTGTGTATGGCCCACTATTTGATTTGATTGTCTACATTTCTAAAACGAACAGATAATAGCCATATTCCTACTGTGATTTGGGTGGCCTCGTTTCTTTCGCCATGCATGGGGTGCGCCTAATCATATCAATTCCATGAGGCTGCGCAAATGGTCATCGCATAGGCAGCTGACACTTTGCTTAACCACCCGTGGAATCGAAAAATGGAACCTTATGCAGGTTTCTTAAAATCGCGGATCCCAAAAACATGAGTTTCAATACTAACTAACTTAACATGGTCAAATTTTGGTTGATTTGGGGTACCCCCATTTTAGGAAACCTCCACATGACTTGTGTTGATGCCTTATTTGCATTTGTTTGCCAGTTATCAATTGGACACCTGTCCAATTGGCTGATTTGCAAGGTCAGCAAGCTTTCCTTGTCTTCGGTGCCCGTGGTCGTCGCTACGAAACCTCAGGACGGAAAGCATTGAGCCACCAGATCTATGGAGGGCTCGCTGGCAGATGATGTTTTGAATTTGACCTTCTTTCCCCGTTCTGGTTTGGCAACAAGCAATGGCAGCAAGCTTGTAATTAGTGACATCTTGCAGTAATTACATTGTTCCCACTCATACATACCAGTTTTACCATCCCATAAAGCACTAAGTTTCAGAATGGTTCATATATGTTGTCCCATATGTACTGTCAACTCCAATGAATGAGTCCTGGTTGATTAAACATCGAGCTTACCACAAATAGTGTTGTCATGTGTTGTCGGTGCTTTTTCGTTCGGTACTTTTCCCAATGATCAACAGCAGGACTGATGAATCCGGGGTTGACATTCCCTCATCTCCAGACACCTTCTAAAACTATAGTTGGAAATGTGGGATTCGTTTTGGGGATCTAAGCGCCTTGCTAGCCTTGCTAGAAGGTATTTGGAGCACTAGGACTTGAAGAAAACATACGAGTGTGTGTGTGTGCGTGTGTATTCATAAAGATAGATTTATATGCATATAACTAAATATTACGCACATCAATACATGCAGATTATATCTATGTATCTATATATATATATGTATGTAGAAATGAGCCAAATTATTTATCGGGTTGGTGGTTTGGAACATCTTTTATGTTTCCATATATTGGGAATAATCATCCCGACTGACTTTCACATTTTTCAGAGGGGTTGAAACCACCAACAAGTTACATATATATAATTATATACAAAGTGGGCCCCCCTAGATAGCTAAGTTGGTTTATAACTCCAATAGCTATGGTTTATGGTACCTATAACTATAGTTAATGGGGTTTATAAACCATCTTGTAACTGGGGGGCCCCACCTTGTATAGTTGTTGTTTGTGATATGTCTATGGCCTTATAGGTATTTATGATCTAGTCAGTGATAAGTGATATAAATTTTATAGTGAAAACCTGCACTTCGATGACATGCACAGTATCCATCACCTCACCTCACCATGCCAGGTTCCATCCCCACCTCGCCCACGCTTTCCCCGGCCGCCTCCGACGCCTCCCCGTCCGGCTACGGCGACGGCGGCGACAGCGCCACGACGCTGGGCCACGTGGCGCGGTGGTGTATTAAGGAGGCCAGGCATCAGTCAGGAGGTGCACGCATGGGATATACCAATGGTTACCCTCCGGTAAACTAACATAGCTATTGAAAATGGCCATTTATAGTGAGTTTTCCCATTAAAAATGGAGATTTTCAATAGCTATGTTAGTTTACCAGAGGGTAATAATGGTTGATAATGGATATATTAATGTCAACCCTGGATTAATAAACCCCTAGATTGTTTAATTGGGAGGGTACCATTTAAGTATCAGATTATGACTATTGGAGGAGTACCCCCCTAATTAATAAACCGCGGTTTATTAATCCGGGGTGGACATTAAGCATTATTATTGATGTATAACCAATGGTATATCCCATGAACATAGCCAATGGTATATTTTTTGGAACATACCAATGGTTAATAATGGTTAATAATGCTATATTCATGGGATATACCAATCATGGAACATAGCCATAGCCAACAACCATGGATAAATCATGGATAAATGTAGAATATACCCTCTGGTAAACATACAAAAAGATATTGAAAATGATCATAGAAATAGTTGATTTACCCATTGAACATGGTGATTTTCCATAGTTTTTTGTATGTTTACCAGAGGGTAGGGAGAATAAAGGGGATATGATAGGAAGAATAAAGGCGATACTGTGTTGTACATAATTCCAATGGACTACAATTGAGCCACTGACTGAGTCCAGATCAGGATTTGTTTCATTCTTTTCATTTACTGTAAATATTCATGTTTTTTCCTCCTCAATCTCCCATCATGTGAAATTGTCATGTTGCCTTCAAAATTAAATGTGCAAATTGCCAAAATAAGCTCTCGCTTGAACTGGTTTCATTCTTGTTGTTTTTGGTAATTTTGGTTACTGTACTATTTCTTTTGTCTCTAGATGTTTATTTGGGAATTATCTCGCTCGAACCCTGTTCATTCTATGTTCTTTTCTTCCCATTTTGGTGATTTTTCTCTTTTTGCCTTTGCAATAATTAAAAAAACACGGTGCGAAAAAAAGGCTCATTGGACCCTAAACGGCGTGTGAGTCGCTCAGCTCTTTACTGAAGACCAGTATAGTTTCAAAATAGTTTCAAATTGATTGAAGGTGTTTTTCCCCATGGGTAAATCCACCGTTTGGGTTGGGGTCATTAGAAGCAAGTCCAAGATCTCAGCAGGGAAGCTACGGAAAATAAATGAAAAAAATGTAATTGAATCAGGAAATTCGTTTTGTTTGAGATTGGCAATAAATTGTTGCCGTCAAAAAATGGTGTCTGTCTGGGTGGCAAATTTGTTGATTAGCGTGTTCTGTCTTATCGTTGGCTGCTTTTGTTGAAACCTACCCGTTAAATCATTGTGGTGACCCCTTCTCAACCAGGACACAGGACACTGCACCCCCCGATGCAGCCTTGGGGATAGGCACAGTGCAGCCTGATCATCGCCAGACCCAAGATGTACCAATCTCCTACAGGTGCACTGGTGGAGGATGAGATTTCGTGTTGCCCTCTGGCAATGAAACATAGTTTGCGGGAAAATTCGTTATTTATAGATCATATTCCCAGCTAGAAGCCTCCATTTTGATTGGGAATGTTCCTGGCTATGTTCGATCAACAGAGGATACATATTTTTTGGGGGGTCAAAGAGTGTGGGGCAACCTGAAAAGGGTGGCCCATGCTAGACGTGTCACAATTTGGGAGCACAAAAATCGTGCGCGCAAAAAGTAGTAGACTGAAAAGGAGTTCCCCCTTTGCCACCGAAATCGAAGCACTGAAACCGGCAAATTGCTGCAGAAATCGACCGTTCGAGGATTTTTTTTCGGGTTTTATCGCCACTATTCCTACCTTGGCGGTAGATCCATTGTTTTGCACAATTTTGTCCCTTGCTAAATGATGAGCCAGGGCAAAGTTTGATATTACAGTTGCTGAGATGTACTGCCAATTTTTTCCCATTCAATGTGGAGAAGCACGGTATAAACTAGTCTGGAGTATGGGCACGCTCAAGATTGCGGGATAGTTGCTTGTTAACTACTGAAGATGTTGAATCGTTCCTATCTTCATTTTTTTTGCATTGTTGATTGCAGTTTTAAGATTTAGCGACATATCCACACGATTCGCTCCTTTGAAGCCCAGTGACATACCCCATTCATCCCTATTTCTTGTTGGGTAATTATAATATATTGATATATATTATATATATATAATCACCACCCTTTTCGTGGGGTACAGTTTTGACCCCCTCGGAAAAAAATACGATGGGGACGGCTATTTGTATGTTAGACCCCTCCTAGGTCCAAAAACAACAACACGCACCGGAAGATTTACATTTTGAGGGGGGTCGAAAGTCCGTAATCTACTTGGGTGTGGGATGATTACATGATTTTATCTTGATTTTATCATCTATTTTGAGCTGTTTCTGCAAGGAAATATGCACCTTAGGTGGAGGATGCTTACATGATTTTATCTTGATTTTATCATCTACATTGAGCTGTTTCTGCAAGGAAATATGGACCTTAGGTGTAGGAAATATGGACCTTAGGTGCGAGATGTGTACATGATTTTTACACTGGTATTCCATTATTTTCTCACAGGCAGGAGGTAAATTTGAAGACCTTCAACATCTCATTTTACATGTTTTTGAAATTCAAGGATTTTCCAGTAATTTGCAAGGAATACCCTCTGGTTATGTCAAAATAGCTATTATTGAAAATGGCTATTTATAGTGGATTTTCCCATTAAAAATGGTGATTTTCAATAGCTATTTTGACATAACCAGAGGGTAATAGACCTTCTATACCTCGGAGATGGAGATTCACTGGGCTTCGTGGTCCAGTGGCAGGCCTGGTGATTCTGCGGGCTGCATCCCTGCCATGAGAGGTGGATGTGACCAGCCAAGAGATGAGGATGCTGTGAGGATGAGACATGTTTTCCATGGAAGTGATGATATTTCAGATGATTGGAAGTCAACATATTTCAAAAGCCCATAGATATCCATAAATCACATAAATCAAGAGATGTTGCCAGTAGAATGGGGAGCGATTGGTTGTTTGGCATGGCTGCATCAGCACAGCCGTCACAGAAAAGGTGGCGATGGATGGCGTCCAAGCAAGGCAGACGGGACCTGTACAAAGGGATTGGTAGAGAGAGAGAGAGAGACCCCGGTTGACATGCAAAATGCAATGGTCATACTGGGGGTTCTGGGCTGGAAGATGGTTGGGGCTCTGACAAAGCACGGGGTTTGTGTGTGTGGCTTGAAGTATGCTCCATCCTGGTTCCCTGGGGCATCCTCGAATTGACATAGCCACTGCAATTCTGGGAACTTGTCCCAATAATTACACATTGCTGGGATACCTATTTCTGTTAATCCAGATCATATTCACCTCCAATGGATTTCTGTCTATTTGTCCATTTCTCTATTTGGAGGTGTCCTAAAATGGTGGTACCCCCCTAAATCATCCAAAATTAGACCATTTTAGTGTTGAAACCCATGGTTTTGGGGATCCTCCATTTCAAAAAAAAAACATTTATCTACCTCTTGATCTAGCAGCTAGCAAATCACTTTTCACCGTTGCCAACTTCTTTGAAGGGTTTCCTGCAGACTGTCAGACTGTGGCCGCAAGTCAGTTGGTGGGTTTCTGAAAACAGAACTCCGGCTGCAAACCACGAAGCCCCGTCCATCTTCCATGGCTGTGTGTCACCATGGCTGCACTATGGCACTGGCAGATTCCGACAGTACCAATGAGATCTTTGCCTGGATGAGACTACCCGGTTTGGTAGCTTCATTATATATTTCTCCCATGCAAGGTGTGAATATTGTATATGCATATATATATAATATATATATATATATACAAATTATCACAATAAATACATGCACATGAACGCAGACTCCTAGACATCCTGCTAAACGTTGTTTTTATGTTTTTACTGAATCTGGATATCAGCTTCAACATGGAGTTTGGATGGCACACTTGCACCAAGACAGTATATTTGACACACAGCTGGCAGCCTGGACAGTACCATAGGGCGACCTGACTGCGACGCGGAGAACAGCTTGCCATGGCGAGGGGCGTTTTGGGGTGGTGCAATTGGGGGATACAGACACGAACTAAATTTAACATGGAAACCCAATTCAATGGGGTATGGCATGGAACTGCATTTTCAAACAGGTTTGCAGGTTAAATTGTAGCTGGGGGCCCTGAAAAAGTTTTTTGGGGAGTAAACTTGTTGTTTTGATGGTGAAGTTGTGATTGAGTCCCCTTCAAACCCCAGTTCAGGTGTGACTGGCATCAACTGGCTATATCGATACCAAACTTAATCGGTGGGGCTGTAGATACTTCCAGCTGCATGTTGTCTTTTTTTGCCGGTGAATGCAGTGAAAAGCCAGTGATAGCATCTCATGATGTTCAGCGCAGAAGGATGGGACAACTGTGTGGCTACTGCGCATTCCTAACAAATTCGCCAAGGTCAGCCAGAGGAATCCCAAACTCTTTAGTTAAGCATGTTTTTTCAGGACCGCTGGTCATCGTTCAGGTTATCCACAAAAAAAACTATTCATAGGATGAGATCTGTACAGGTATCACATACATATAGTTAATTTAATCATATAATGATATAATATAAACTTATGGATGGAAGGATGGATGGATGGATGGATGGATAGGTAGATAGATAGGTAGATAGATAGATAGATATAATTACATGTGTGTGCGTACAGATGTGAATGTGACTGTGTATAGATGTAGAGTTTAGGATCATTTAGGGATGGAACCTTCAAACTCCTGAATTCTTGGCACAGGAGCTGCCAGCTGTGGCGAACAGCTCGGAGCAAGTGGCATTTCAGGTGAACACAGGCCTGCTTCCCAATCGGTGGTTGGTCATGATTACAGTATAATTTACTTAACTATTAAACACTGTGGATGACGTCTTGATACTTAATGTTTTCTCATCCCAATAGTAATCATCATAGTGGATGAGACACTATAATTGGAGAATTAATATTGGTCCCCATGCCTTTCAGATTAAAGATAATTCGGAATCATTCGCATAATTGCATACATACAAAATGATAGTCGGAGGGGTCCCGACCATGCATAATTGGGTCCCGACCTTTCCCTGTGGAGGCACCCCCTGGCAGTTGCTTGGGCCGACGGGTGGCGCTTTCAGGCACGATTGGCAAAGACTTGGACTCAAGCCGCTTGAGCAACACGTATCAACACATACAGAGCCTCCAAAACATGAGAAGAGCATGTTATAGTGTTATGTTTTTATTATTATTAATTCTGAAAGCAGCGTTGTGAGCGCCCACGTTTTGGGCAGTCTCCTTTTGCCACTTTTCTCCATGAATCTACCATCCAGAAAAAAAATATGGCTGCACTTGTCACTTCAACATTGCATCTCCCACAGGCAAACCCCAAGAACAAAATTCCCTACACAAAATTAAACTCCATAACTGAAAACCGAAAAAAACAAAAAAAACAAAAAAAAAAACAAAGATTCCAGAGAAAGGTTGGGGGGCTCATAGTTGCTGGATCTTTGTTTTTTTTTTGTTTTTTTGTTTTTTTTGGTTTTTTCGGTTTTTGTGTTTTTTTGGTGGTTTTGCTTATTGTACCGCCTGTCTATAGGGGTGGTTTTACCTTGAAAATGTTTTCTCCATATTTCCTGAACAGCAAGGCCTAATTTCCGATTTTCTGGAGGTGGTGGCTCTGTTTGTGTAATTTTCTTCTGAGCAAGGAATACCACCCTCTTTTCAAAGGAATGAACAAATATAATATATTGCATCCTTTTCAAGGAAACTTGCATAAAGGCATGCTGCACTGTGGTCTCTGAAAGAGCAACTGCTTATTGAAGAATACCCTTTCAAAATAATGCTATATTTCCTGCAAGGAACACTATACTTCTTCAAATGGCAATTCCATGCATTGCGCTTTATTACAGACACATCACCCTCTTTCAAAGGGATTGTTGTATATATGAAAGGGTTCCCTTTTGTACAACAACTTACTGTAAATCACACCATACTCAGCCATACTCTGTCACTAGGACTGCTGTGTGTCTTGAAGGCTACTTCTCAAAGAGATGCTACATACTTTTGAAAGGAAGATTGTGGGTAACTGTATATATATATAATTAATAATATCATACAATGAATTATGTTATTTGAAAATCATATTATATTTTCCAAATGAATCATATTTTTTCGAAGTAATATGGCATAATACCGTTGTTTAAAATCAAGATTTCATGAAACCATCAAGTATTGTCTGATAGGAATGCCGCTTTTCTGAAAAACACTAATTTATATGCATATTTTATCTTAAGGAAATGCTACCCTTCTCTAAAAGGACTACTACCTCTATGGAAGGAATTACATATGTTCATTAAAATATATGGAAGACAGAACCCACTTGTTCTAAAGGAATGCTATGCACATCTCAGGGTCTTGCTTTACACTTTCTCAAAGGAATGTTGTTCCCTCTATAGAAGAATGTTGCATAGAGGCATCCCACAACTTCCTCAAGAAATGCCACATTCTTTCAAATTTTCAACGATGACTTATGAGAAGCATGCTGTGGCCCTTAGAATCTGAGTTGATGCTGTACTAGGGTTTAATAACACAATATTTTTCAAAGGAACAATATGCTTACCCTTGCAAAACATTCCATATCTCTTTCTGTAGGGAGCTCTGTCAGGAAGATGCAATGCTGCTTGGGGACAAAATGAAATCTTCTGTCAATCAAAAGTGCTGTTTCCTCTTGTTCATGCGCGCTATAAAAACCTGCAACATAGAAGCAAACACACCCCTATCATTTGCGCATGGCGCAACAGGGCAAAATTGAATTTTCTTTCTGATATTCACTGGCTAAATGACATAGAACCGTTGATAGACAACCTGCAGCAATGAGAACGTCTTAAAACTGCTGGAAAAGGCAACAGTACATATTGCTTACAGACTTGGACACACATGTCAGAAAATGCTCAAAACATAGCATTTTTTACGAGATTTGTGGGCGCTGAGAGCGCTGGCCTCTCTATTAATTATATATTATTATTAGCATCCCTCTTAAGAGCTATCGTATTACAGTATGTTATTAGTTTCTTAGTATTTATTAGCTATATATATATATGTTATACTGATTGGTGGTTTGGAACATTTTTGCATATACTGGGAATAATCATCCCAACTGACGAACTCATATTTTTCAGAGGGGTAGGTTGAAACCACCAACCAGTATATTATATAACTGTATTTCATGGTATACGTAACTTTAGATATCTATACTTAGTGGAGTGTCTTGCAAGCCTTGCACAGGTGGGACCTGGTGGATCGCGATGCTGTGGCGGAAGTGGAGAAGAGGCTGGCAATGTTTGGGGCGGGCAGGTGCTGCTTCCCTTAAACAAGTGATGTTTGTTTGCTGGTAAACTATGATCAAAGCCACATAAACCCACTAGCTATAGGTATGGAATCATGTCATATTTGAACAAATTCAATTTTTTAACTGTAGTTATGTGAGTCAAGAAAAACTGTGGGGCACTGTTTTGTGGGTGATTTGTTGGGACTTTTCCTCTATGAAAGATGGATTTGTTTGAGGATATGTCCAAATGTATATATTTTTTTTGATGGGTGACTTAGATGGCTGTCAAGAGAGGCAGGTTTGCGATCAGTGCAGCCACAAACGGAGGAAGATGTGACATCAATGGTTGCTTGATGGGCTTGATGGTTGGCTATTCCTTTTGACGGGGAAGGATTGATATCTCAAGCAATATCAACAGGGCATCAAGCTTGATCCAAGTGTAGATCCTTCAGCTTTGTTTGGAGTTTCAATTGGGCTTTCTTTTCCATATCAGTGTGAAACGATGATCCAAAGATTGGCTATATACAGTAATGTCTTTTCATTGGGATGCAGCCACTCACCAAGCAGTTGTTTGTTTTGCCCTGGTTTGAGATGATCTATAATGATCTTTATACCGTCCTCGAAAACGGCAGCTCTGTTGAGAGATGTGGGGACTGGGTATCCCCGTTCGGAAGGGTGACCCCAAATGAACGTGACAACACGTGTGTTGGAAACCCGGAGGCGGTTTCCAGCAAAGGCCCATGTTGAGGACACATCAAGTAATTTGGCTCACAGCTTCTGCCGTCTTTGCAAGCAAGGATGATAGCTACTAGTTATATAAAAGTGAGCACAACATGACCTCTGATAGCTTGACGGCTTGACGGCTTGACATAGCATGACATAGTTATGGAGATTGTCCCATTTATAGAGGATAAGTACCTCTTACAAATGGTGATTTTCCATAGCTATTTTACATTACCAGAGGGTATGTTCCAATGGTTGTTCTGCTATCAATCAGTTTCTCTCCAGCTGGGAGCTGTAGGTGAGAATTGTCTCAGTCATCCCACACTTGGGGTTCCCTCCAAAACTGACCAACTCCATCAGTGTCCCAAGTTTGAATGATTCCCTTACACTAGCTTGTTCGACTTTGGACTTTGGTAGTCAAAAAGCTTATCTCTATGTTTCATCCAAAAAACATACGTTCACTCAGAGTTTCCCATCATTTCTCATCCATTGTCCACATTTTCCGCCCCATCCCTTGGGTCCAGCGCCATTCCAGCGCCATTCCAGCGCCATGGCACCATGGCCCTGCGTGGCATCCGGCGCACGCTGCGTAGCGCGCAGCGCATCGCGCCGTCGGCGGTGCAAGGCCTCGCAGAGGCGCTACATGCAACAGCGAGCACAGCTCGACCGGGGGAGCTGGGACTCATGGAGGTGCCCCGATGGGATGGGTACCCCGCATGGTTAGGCACTTCCAACCAGCCCAAAAATGTCATCCCTTCCCCGGGACCCAGGCCAGTCTCTGTGTCAACGAGTTGGCGCGCAAGAAGTCGACCATCGACTTCGCTGAGGTGCCTCAGGAGACCTGGGAACAGATCGTTCGCAGCTGTGTGCAGATCATGCCCATGCTGCCTGGTAGCCGCGACGTTGCACTGCCTGTTGGTTTACATGTATTGCTTCGATATGGCTATACGATAGGGGTTTCAATCTATCAGCCTATCAGCCCAATATATTGGAGGCCACAAAATGGCCCTCCACAAAGCCCAGCTAAACCCAGCTATTTTGGGACTAAATTCCATCATCAAATACCAATTAGAAACCCTTAGTTTAATACTTATCCATGAGGACCCATATGGGGGTGTATTTTTCATTTCCGTTTTCATATGGAGATGGGACACCACCCATGGATTCCACAAGGCTTCCAGCACGCAACTTGACGCTGTTGATCAACGCCTTGGCTCACCTCTCTAGCGCTGCGCCGCGAGAGCCGTGGGCTGATCTCGCTGTGCAGAGTTTCTACGGTGTGAATGGATCTATGGGGAACCAGTGGGAGCTACGAATTGAGTTTCCCACGCAAATGACCATATGGTAGTTATAGAAATTTGAAACGTTTTATATAATTAACTGCCCCTGATATTGTTTTATAGGTTGGTTTGGTTCTTTTGACTTTCAGATAGATGTTTTTTTTACCAAACATGTCTTGTTTGGGATGTATTTGTCTCAAACTCAACATTTTAAGTAGGATGGTGAACTTGTTTATGATTTTATGTGTATCCTATATTTGATATGATTCCGTTGCTTCAATGACACATGCTTCTCACATGGAAAGGCCAGTCTTGATTGATTTTCCATCGCTATTTGGGAGAATGAACCATAATGAACCCAAAATATCATGGCATACGAGAATGAAGTCAGTTCCAGTTGCATCAGTTGCAAGTGGATTTTATCATAGTTATAGGCTTTATGCCTCAACTTATGGTGCTTTAGTTCACCATGGTGAACTCCCCATGTGCAACCGGGTTTTCCATCCCCATCCCGAGGTTTGCTAAAGGTGCCAGTGGGCGGATTTTCAGCACAGGACCTGCCCCTTGGAGCAGCGCGTTGGGGGTCAAAGTTGGATGAACAACCATGACATATGTGAATTTTAATGGGATATTTATGGAGATACAAGGGAATATATAGCCTCAACGTACCTCAACTGCAATCAGAAATTGGTTGGTATACCCATTTTGGGGATGGTCATCCATCTGTTCATAGGGGTTTAAATAACCATTGCAAGGATTTCCAGTGATTTCCATATCCGGACAGATGATCATAAACCATATATATAATTATATATATATAGGGTAAAGGCTGGGGGTTCCCCGGAAGCCAATTGCATTTTATTTGTATGGATATGGAAAATGTTGATTTTACACTGTGTTTTACAGTGTTTTATGCTCTTCTCTCAAATTGTTCGATCAGTAAAAGTTGCAATGCCGGCGCGGATAAACTTGACGTTTGTCCGCGCAGAAAAATGATAAATTTACATCTTCCATGGATGGCCAAACATGTGTGCAACATCGAAACCATTGGAATTGCGGTTTCATGCATTTTTGGTCGTTTTGTTGACAACTAGAAAATGTCATAATTCACTGGAGAACCATGGACGAAATTAACATCACACCTTTTTCATCTTCACGTCCACAAAGGCTTTTTGAAGCAGTTGCTTGGAGCGAGAGCACCATTGGTCTTCTTCACGGCACTATATTATATTATATAGGTAATTTACAAATAACAGAACGCACAGAACATATCTGTACCAACCACCTCCCACGGCAGACCCTCCAAGTAGCCACATCCTCAACGTAGCAACGTAGCAAGATCCTCACCGCAGAAAGATCCTCAACGTAGCAAGATCCTCACCATAACAACATCCTCAACGTAACAAGATCCTCACCGTAGCAACATCCTCAATGCAGTAACATCCTCATTGTAGCAACATCCTCAACGCACTCCACATGACGTTATTACCCCACCCCCCAACCCCCCCCACCCCCTTCTGTAAATCAACGATACTTGCAACGTAACAACAGCTTCAACGAAGCAACATCCTCAAGGTTTCAACAAGTCTCAATCCAACGCAGTCCACATGACATTATTACACCCCCACCCCAAAAAAGGCAAGTCCCCCCAAAAAGGACAAGCCAAAAAAGGCAAGTCCCTCCACAGCCGCGAAGTCCAGGCCAACTAGCAGGAGAAGACAAACTGGAGTAGTCAGTCAGGCTGCAGAGGGCCTTGCTGAGGATGAGGAGGCAGAGAGCCAGCCTTGCTGAGCCAACTTGAACAGCTGCGCCAAGAAATCGAGGACCAGGTAGGAAGAAGGCCACCTACAAACCTGAAGGCAGGTACAGTTTTCGCAGTGCTGGAGCTGGCAACCTCCAAGCTGGCAAGCTCCAAGCTGACAGGAGAAAGAAGGTTGTCACCATCTTAAGGGCAAAAAAGAAGCCAAGCAAAAAACGCAAAACACCTTATGAGGACCCCGAGAACAAAGTTTTGAAAGAGGAGGGGGTGGTGGTGGTGAAAGAAGAGGAGAAGGTGGAAGCCAGCTTGGGCTTCTAACCCAACTGGCCACTGTGCTGAGGAGAGGAGGCCTCAGCTGAGGCAGGCAGAGGAGGCCTCAGCTGAGGCAGCGGAGGCCTCAGCTGAGGCATTGACGAAAGCTGCTGAGGCAGCTGAAAAGGCACAGAACACAGTTGAGGTAGAGGAGGGCCCCCCATCTCTATACAATAACAACGTTTATAGTACATGACAAGACAGAGGGTTCCTGGAAGCTCCGGGGAACGCCCAGCCTGGACCCTTAGCCTATAATATATATATATATACATACATACATACATACATACACACACACCACATTTTGACCATGGCGCATAATGGGTGTGTTTTGAAAATAGGGTATACCCACAACAGGCCCATTGAATAGGAAACATGATGATAAACCATGTTTTCAAACAAACCCATTTTTGGGAGCATGAACGGCCATTTGCTAGCTATTTTGATGTTCACCATCAGGGGTCTTGACATATCCGGACCCATTCCCATGTGTTTGTTTGCATTTTTCAGGATTAGGATGCCTTAGGTCTTAGGTGCAAGAATAAAGAAAATCAATTTGTCAGCAATGATGAGCAAGACACTCATTTCATGGTCTGAAGGAGAAGCCAAATGGGTTGACGACCCTGGTCTATAGCACAGATCCTCAGCAATTAAAGTGTTCTCAATGGTTTACCCTCCAGTGAACTGACATAGATATGGAAACGAACCGGAAGCCCCTGGTTGCTCTATACCTTTGAAATTGCTGGAAGATATTCATTTCACAATCCATTCACCAAGCAGTAAGTAAGAACATACCATCCCTTATTCGATAGGATTATACCATTTTCGCCCCGAAGAGGGGGATATTAATATATAGTTGTCTATAATATTTACATCATCCCACAGTATTCATTAGCATGATCCACTACGATTTAGATTTTTGTTTCAGATCCTCATCCCAGGTCCTTCCAATCTGAAGAAGATCTGAGATTGTAGTGGATAATGCCAATAATTATAGACAATCTGGGGTAATATTATCTACCAGTAGTACCGCACAAGGCGGTGGCGGAAGTTTCAAGGATAGGACACTATAGGAGGGGTGAGTTGTTGTGATGCATGGATGGCAGAGCGAATCCACTGATGGACCGAAAGGTGGTTGGAGTTGTGCTTTTTGGGGTGGCTGCAACGGTTGCAGTGGTCACCTCACTCACAACTCCTGGGTGTAGTGTGGTGTAGTGCAGTAGTTGTAGTCGCAGTTGTAGTTGTAGTGGGGTTGATGCTGTTGAAGTGATGTTGTAGTAGTTGTTGTTGCGGCTGCAGTTGTAGTTGTAGTTGTAGTGTAGTTGAGGTTGTAATTGTCTTAATTTTAGTAATTGTAGTAGTTGCAATAGTTGCGATTGTAACTGTAACTGTAGTTGTAGTTGCAGCGCAGTTGTAGTTGCAGTGTAGTGTCGTGGTAATTGCTGTTGTAGTCGTGCAGTTGAAGTTGAAGTTGAACTCGTTGAAGGTTGTTGCAGTTGTAGTTGCAATTGCAGATGCTGTGGCACTTGTAATTGTAGTTGTAGTAATTGTAGTTGAGGTTGTAGTTGTAATTGAATTGTAATTGTAATTGAAGTCGTAGTTGTGGTTGTAGCTGCAGTTCTTGTAGTTGAAGTGTACTTGAAGTTGTAGTTGTAGTGGTAGTGTAGTTGCAGTTGTTGTTGAAGTTGTAGTTGCAGTGTGGTGTAGTGCAGCTGCAGTTGTCTATCTATCTGTCTATCTATATATTTGTTTATCTATGTGTTTTTCTGTTTATCTTTCTGTCTAATCTACCTAATCTATCTAACCAACTTATCTATCCATTATCTATCTATCTTATCTTATCTTATTATAACTTATCTTATCTATCTAATCTAATCTAATCTATTTAATCCATCTTTCTATCTATCTATCCATCCATCTATCTATCTATCTATCTATCTTTCTATCTATCTATCTTCTATCTATCTATCTATCTATCTATCTATCTATCTATCTATCGGTCTATCTATCTATCTGCAAGTTTGAAAACGAAGCTATTCTGTGAGACCTCCTCATCTTTTCAAGTTGACAACATCAAAAAGGCAGCATTTCTGCGAGACATCCCTCAAAAATGGAAAGTTGAGTGCAGAGCTGATGGCCTCCTACCAATGCGTCTTGCCGTTTTTCTACTCCATCTGTCTAAAGTGCTCTGCCTGCCACAAAAAAGTGATGCCAGGTCATACAAAGCGCTGCACTTGTCACACAAAATCATCTTCCCAAAACTGCAGATCTGATGCTCCAAAATGCAGTTTTTGAGGAAATCAGCGGCCTGACCTCCTAACATCTCTGATGAACATGTCTCTTTTACTGCGCCTGCCACGCGAAATGCAGAAAACCCTCACGTCTTGCTCACTTTTTGACAAGGTGCACGAGCCCTTGCGCCTGCCACACGAAACGACATCTGAACGTCCAAAGGTGCCCAGAACCCGTCATTTTTTTTGACTTTGAAAATGTGCTTCGCGCCACAACGGCGTGCACTTTTTCGTCATCACAACTTCCAAAAGTGGTCCGAACATGAGGTGTTTTGTGCATTTTGACTTCTAAATGTGCTTCGCGCCACAACGGCGTGCAACTTTTCATCTCTCATCTGGCCAGATGGCTCCGCGCCCGCCGCTTTAGCGAGCCTACTTTTCGACCCTCCGGAGCCACAAACCATTGAAAAAACACTGATTCGCAACTTTCCTTTCTTTTCGCGCACCTACATCCTCTTTCTTCTGACTCTTGCTCTTCTCTGATCTTCTCTCTCTGCTCTTCTCTTCTCTGACTCTTCCCACCTTTGCTGTTCCATCTGTCCATATTGTCGGAAGTTTGACTTCTAAACTTCCTTCGATAAGGATATCCATAGTTTAGGAATATAAGGAACATCCCTAATCCCTAACCCACACATATATATATATATATGTATCCATATATTATTATTGCATGGAACTTGTTGGAATCTCTGAGGTGTTTGACCCTCAGCGCCATGGTGCGCATCTCCTGTACTCGGCAAGACCTGCTCAGCCGGCTGTTGCGGGACGACTCTCCTCCATTGCTGGGAGACTTGGAAGCCACTGGGCCACGGCCATGGGCCACTTCGAAAAGCGATAGGTCTCACTATGAAACATGGGGGATCATGACTGGATCATGGGGGTTTAGCAAGGTTTAACTATGCAAGTAACTTGCATGTCCGAGCTATGAGAATCATCATAGCTAATTACTGAAGACTCCTTTCAGGATGGTGAAATTACACGCCCTCAATACTGGACCCCGGTTCATTAATGGGCAATAATTACTAAATCTGGATTTCTAGGGTTGTATTTCACATTGACGCGAAGAGATTACAGCCTTGGGGCTGTCGGGTTTGGACACTGAAAAAGATTGGATTTAGCACCAAAAATATTGCAAAATTGACGGTTGAAGATCATCAACCATGGAGATTTTAGGGTAAACCCATTTTTTGGAACAAATTCATATTGGTGACCATTGACCAAACCGAAACCATCAGAATCCTTTCCAGAATGAAAACAAAATCAAGCCGCGGCGCAGACAAAAAGAACAGTTGTGAGACTATGTGTGGGAGAAGGGGGGATCGTTTTGATAGTCCCTGCCGATTGTGAAACACCCTGCATGAAAAAAAATGGTTTGGTTCTTGGAACTAAGCATTTTCGCGTCCTGTACTGCAGGTATGTGGCCTCTGGTAATCACACCTGGCAAGGGACCATCCCCCATTGAGTTCGATGATCTTCCCAGCTACAAAGCTCTAGAGGAGTTCACCCCAGCTATGTTTTTTTGGATTAGCACCTTTTCCGTATTTATGATGGTTAAATTATTCCCTTAAAAAAACACCATATGTTTGTTAGTGAAAACCCAAGTCAATTTGGTTCTTTCATCACCATGCTCGGGGGATCTCGGGGGGTGCATACTTAGTAAATGGGTCATAGTCCCAGTGAAATATGGGATGAAACAGGGGTTATTAATAACTACTATTGATTAGTGGGATAATTCCTTGAGATAATATGATATATGGCATAACATATACCCCCAAATATATATATATATATATACATGGGTTATTAATACTTCATGGCATATACACCAGGGATCAATTGGATAGACATCCCAGGCTCGTGGTACTGCAGCCTTCGCCCACGCCGCCGCCCAGCTGCCAACGCCCGAAGTGGCGCAGCTCTTGGAACAGCTGCGGCCCAAGTTGCAGAGATTTGCCGCGCAAGGCGCCGCAATTCTGGGGCCATTGAAGTACACTGAAAACCAGGATTTACTGATGATATTTTTATCTCATGTTATTTCATGTTGCTGTTGATTCATCTGCTATTTGGATCTTTTTGGGGGTTACCCCCACGAAGGATCGAAGAACGCACTCATCACTACTGATCGGTGAAAATTTCAAGATCCAGGGGTCCAGGGGACCACATATGTTTGTATTTGTTTTCGTAACCACCCAATTATCTATAGGTAAATTGCAACAACTTCAGTGCAACCTGACTGAAATGATGGAAAACATCCCCGGCCATGGCCTTAATTCAGATTCGTGAATGATTAATTAGTTAAATAGTGGGTACCCCGAATGGAATGAGGAGTGAATTATCATCATTTCCCCAGAATTGGGGTAGGGTAAAACAACAATAAACCATCCCCTATAGTCATCACCATTGGTGGTCGGTTTACCATCAAAATATGGGTGGTTGGAATGGCATTGTTTTTCCAGGGTTTATTGATAACCATTATTGGTTATAAATAATGGTTTACCCACATTCCAAAAAATGCCTCGCTCGCCATCCCCAGCGAACAAAAATTTTGGGCAAGGCTTCCGTCCCCTCGAAGTGGCCTTGACACTGGACGCGCTGTCCCGCTTGGACGCGAGTTGGGCGGAGGAAGCCATCAGCGAGATGGAGGACTGGGCTGAGAGTGGCTGAAGAATATGTTACAACTCCACAGATTTAGCACAAAACTGGGGTTTGATGGGATTTATTGTGATTTATATGGATCTATGATGATTTGTTGATATGTGTTGTGATTTAGTGCTGTGTGATGGTTACCCTTTTGGTTGAACAGAGCAATGGTATAGATGGCCGATTTAGTTCGATATTTACCTATATAATTTCTATGTATATATATATATATATGTGCACCTGTTAAACATGGTGATTTTCCAAGAAGATGATGATGAGCCCTTTTGTGCATATGAGATGCCAAGGGTAAACCCCAGTTTTTGACCTGAGTATCCGTGGTGAATGTTGTCCGACGAAAAGAATGGTGATATTCACCGACTGGCACGCGGATTTAATCGAAAGGAACCGACGCAAGCGATGAAACATACTAGCAATATCATGGGACGTGATGTGTGGCCGACAAAAAAATGTGCCAGGAGGGTACAACAAATTCATGATACTTCATAGCAACAATAATAACTCACAAAACCATGTTTGTAGCTGCTTACTTTGACAATCAACACCTTAGCAAGTGATTTTCCTCCCGAAAGCGAGGGTCTCCCCACATCAGTTTGTCCGGTGTAAATGTTTTGCCTGTGGGTTTGGGCACAGGGCACCCGCAAATCCATTGGAGTACCATCATGTGTTTGATTCAAATGGTATGCAATTTTGGGAGATACCCATTTTCACACAAACCAATGGGACCATTTCTGGTACCCCCTCGTGATTTAACATAAGCCTTGTGACGGGCCACAGTGCCAAGATGGCCCGTAGAACCGCCACGGGGTGTAGGAACATGTGCTCCGCGTGCTTTCAAAGCTAAAGCCAGCAGCTTGGCAAAGACAGTTTTCCGCCGGCGGATCATAATGAGAGGTATAGTCTCACCCCCCAAAATGACAGAAATGTACTATATATAATTTGAGGTTGCGAGCATCACTGATCATGCTTGCTGTAGTTGGCACTTCATGTGCTGCCAACTATACTGTGCATGTCATTGAAGTGCAGGTTTTCACTAAAAAATGTATATCACTTATCACTGACTAGATCATAAATACCTATAAGGCCATAGACATACCATAAACAACAACTATACAATGTGGGCCCCCCCAGTTATAAGTTGGTTTATAAGCCCCAGTAACTCTAGTTATAAGTACCATAAACCATAATTATTGGAGTTATAAATCAACTTAGCTATCTTGGGGGCCTCACATTGTATCATACGTACTTTACCAATGCCAATCGCTCCAGACCTTCCATCGGCTTAGCTGGGACCCCTGGGAGGTAGAGGTGGTCATGGTCACCAGTGCCTTCTCGCGGCGCAACATTTTGAAGTCAACAGAGCTGGCGCGGCAGCTGACCAAAAGCATCGCAGAAAGCTTCGAGAAGTGCGACTGGTCGCGGTTTAACAGGCTGGAATTTCTGGGAATATATCTATAATGAATTACAATAATCTATCTATATGATTATAGTTATAACAATCTATAATGGTCTATCTATATAATGATCTATCATTTCTAGAAAGAGCTATCTATATTTCATTATTGATAGTAATGATAACAGATCGAGTTTCAAGAACAAAGGGAGTTGACGCAATGATTAATCCACCACGATTGGAGCCTAGCCCCAAACAGATGGTCGGCCGAGTCGGCCATGCTGACATCGGAGAAGCAACTTGGTCCGTGGGGAAAATGGCTTGGTTATGAATGAGTAGATCATCTGAATTGGTTGGTTCAGTTGTTTTACTTATTTGGGTCAAGCTTGGTGTATGTTCTTTGGTATGATGTCTATCTTTATCTAATATATGATAATATATGTATATGTAACTATATGAACATGTATAAATGAATATACAGAGTTTTTTTGAGTTTTCCACATGGAGGTTGGTTTTGATTTTACAGATTTGTTTTTGATATTATAGACATTCAAGACGATCCTTTCGACTTGGCACATCCGGGTTCTCATGCAAGAACCTTTTCCAGGAGCGGTTGAGATCAACAGATGTGGGTATTGTCGGTCAAAATATCATGAGTCATGAGTGTTTTTGAGGGGGAAAGAAGCTTACCACTTTAGATGTTTTTAGATTTTGTTGGGTTGCGGGCTAAAGCGAATCCCCACAAGAAAAGCTTGGTGAAATTCAAACCTTGATCCGATCGCTGAACTTGATGACAGGCGCACAATTAATGGGGCCCCCATTCAGCATAACTATAGATCCACTGGGAGGTTTTCAAGCAATTGCAGTGAGCTGATTGAATTGGGATCATGCTAGCCAAATCAACTCCACAATGGCAACCCCCAAGGAACATGGGTAGTCATTCAGTTATACACACGTTTAAACAATATAATTTAATCAAACTCCATTGAAAGATGTGGGCATCTTTGTGATATATTACAAGGATTACAAGGTTGAAGCTTCTTTTGTTGGTCATAAAAAGCCCGTGAAAGCAGCATTCGGAAAACATCGGAAAGTTAACATCCCCAGTACAAATACCCAACTCTCCTTGCTGCAGCCACAAGAGCCAGGTAATCCAGCAGAGGTTTGCATTTTGCTCCACTCTATGGCCCGATTGGAGATGTTGAGCGTCCCCTTGGAGCCACCCAGCCCCGAACATGACCTGGTCCTGGCAATGTTGGAGCACTTATGTCCGGAGAGGACGCAAGGATTGACGCTTGACTTTGCGATTGTGTTTTTCTGAATAACTGTTTGGATGATGAGGCATTAATGTGTAACTATCTGTGCGGTCTAAATGTGTAACCCTTTTGCTTCTGACCATGGAACCTTTTGCTATGGGAGATCCAGCCAGTTCATAGATGACTGTTGACTGTAGAAAAACTGCGAGGATTTTCCAGCCAAGTTCGACCCCCCATCAGGTGATCAGGCAATCCCACCATCTTCAAGTGATTTTCCACTTCAAATTCCCCCATTGACCTTTTTCACCTTCCAGCAATTTCCGAATTTCGGGGGTTGGTGGCGTAGCTCAGGAAGATGTGCTCCCTGGATCACATCATTCTGCTGATCCATGCCTTGGCCAAGCTTTTGGTGCGTCCTCCAAAGGCCTACTGGATCCACCTGGAACAACGACTGGGCACGGAGGTGGGGGACGACTGGGCGCGGCTGGCCGTCTGTGGACGGTACGAAAAATGTGTTTTTGAAGATGAAAAATGACTGGTTGGTGGTTTGGAACATTTTGTATGTTTCCATATATTGGGAATTGTAATCCCAACTGGCCAGTATTTTTCACAGGGGTAGGTCAACCACCAAGCAGTTTTAAATTCGGGTGATATTGGGATTAATTAGGGACAAACTCTTAACCAGCCCCTTTTTGCTAATGACGCTCTAATGAGTTGGTGTTGTTTTTTCCGGGGTAAGGGTTCGCCTTGGCTCAGTCTGGTTATGACTAACAGTTCGCCATGGAAAGATCCACCCATTTTTAAGAACGGTAAACCGGTAAACCATCTATTTCGATTAGGGCCATGGCTTCCATGGCTATGTTAAATAACCAGGGGGTAATATATGCAAGTATCCTTGGGTCATCCACATACACACGAACACACACATGCACATGCACACACACACACACATGCGCACATACACGCACACATGCGCACCATATGTTCTTTAATGTTCTTTATATATTATGCACATGCCACTTCAAAGAGTTGCTTGAACGAACAATTCCTCCCAAAAAAGGACTTTGATCGCGGGAACGCAGTTCGCTTATCTTTGGCAGCTGCGAAGTTGGACTACAAGTCCCATTGTGTCAGAGATTTGCCTGCTAAGTTAGTTGCACTGTTTGCACAGTAAACACTGTGGGAGAGTGGTCCATGTTGACAACTGAGGTTCGCATAGTTCCTTCGTTTCTAGCGGCAAAAAAGATTGATAGAATATGATAGAATTGGTTTTCAACGATGCTTTGAACGGGTTTCTCTTTATCCATCTATTTGGGGCCTAGTGCTCGATGATACTGGATATTTTGAAGGCGGTTGATTGCTGATTTTCAGCCTCCTTCTTCGGATGATTAAACCCAGAACAAATGTTTACAACGTAAATTGTTTTGTATTGTTTTGTGCTAGGTTGATGCTAGGGACGATTTTTAAGAAACCCATTATATCCCATTATTATTTGTGACTATTACTATTCATGAGAGGACGTGTCTTACCCATAGATCCACTGGTTCAATGACAGTTACTTCTATTTAAATTGCCATTTGGGGGTATGGAGCCATCCAAATCCTAGAGCAACTCTGAGATCCTCTAAATGTTTGGTAGCTCCACTTCCACCAAGGACAGGTCTTTGCCCGGGCTGTGTGCCAAGGGCCGTTAACAGAGCTGTGAGCTGGCGAATGGATTGGGTTTAAGGGAAGAAAATGAAGAAATCTACGAGAAATCATAGCGTTACCTCAATATAATAGGTTTTCGTATTGATTTTTCATGATTTTTCCGTTGATCCAAATCTTGCAGATGAAAGGCGCTGGTGGTCTCAAAACTGTAAATAGTCTGTCTGTAGTCTGTAAATGTCTGTAAGTTGAGTTTGGGTTAGATCAGCACATGCTCACGGGATGGTGGTCCCAATAAACTCCTTGGGGAAGCAACAACCTACCAGCACTCATATGTTTTCCTACCCGTTGGTGATCCACACTGGTGATCCTAGCATACGCCCAAAGAATACGAGCAAGTCAAGATTCTAGACTGGGTAAAATGCTAAAATGTTTTTTGTTTATTTGGCATGAAACCCTATATGTGGAGGTAAAACTCGTGGTTTCAAGCGGATTTTTACCCGCTGTGCTCTTCAGCTCTGGGCTTGACCAACCCAAGGGTTGATCAGTAGCTGATCCAGAGTGAATAGGAACATACGTGAACATGATAGGTATAGGAATCCCTTCCGTACCCTTGTGTTTAATGGTATTTTAATGGTATATGGTTTGCTGAGTTTCTGCGATGAAAAAAACACCCATTGAGCTGACCAATCTGTTGACAAGGTCAGACGAGGCCTTTGCGTCGATAGTTTTGGCATTGCTCCATGCCTTTTACTTCAACGAAGCCCTGCTGGAAAGGCAGTGCGGCTGGGGGTTGACGACGTCGCGAACGTACTTTTTTATTGTTGCCATCCTTGAAGGTTCGATGGGATGTGGTTCCATGATGCTCAGTGTCATCGTTGGACAAGTTTTGTGCTTTGTGGAGTTGACCCACCAGCCAGCGAGGCTCCTGATACACGGTGCGCAAAGGGCTATCAACTCACAGAGCTTGGCATTGCAGCTGAGGACGAAACGCAGAAATGATGGGGTGAAGAAGTGGCACTGGTTCCATCGGGTACGCCCTGGTAATCCAACACAGTGATCTGGGAATTTTCCTATATATCTTATAGCATGGTAAATCATGGCCAATTCCATACAAGTGGAGGTTTTTTGCTGCGAAAATCATCCAAGTAAATGGGTAATTAATTTTCTAGCAAATCCTGTTTGATTACCGGAGGGTAGCACTTCCCTAAAGAGTGGTGGCTTTGATGCCTTTTCTGGAGCATAGGGTTGGCCAGTTGGTTGGCTTGTTCCAGTAGTTTTCACAGTTGTCCGCTGCTTTCAAAGCCCCTGCATATTGTAGCTCATCATCCAGTTGGGCAAATGTCATCGCACCAAGTTGCCTTGTCCAACATTAACCTTTGGGAACAGTGGCAGGTTTTGCATGTGAAGTTGTCCTCAGGCCTGAGGCTTCCCCAGAAAACCATAGAAAACCCATTCCAGGCTTTGTTTCAAGGACCAGATCAATGACCAGATTTATGTTTCACAGCAGTGATATATTAGCAGCTTGACCCTGAAAATCCCTGCCAACGATGGTTGTCGCAGGTGGAACATAGTTCTTGATCAAATAAGGTAATGGCTTCATAGCTGCAAATGGGGCGAGGCAAGAAGAGAGAGAGAGAGAGAGCGAGAGAGAGAGAGAGAGAGTCAGAAGGAAGAGAGAAGGGAGAAGAGAGAAGAGAGAGAGAGAGAGTGAGAGTGCCCAGCCCAAAGTTAGTTTTTGAGCAATTTCCTCGAGATTGACTGTGACACGCGTTTTTCTGCTCCCTAACCCCTTCCCCTGCTTCAACGCAATGTGGTATACTCCCCATTTGGTTTCCATCCAACGATGGATACATCTACCATCCATAACCCCTAGTGAGTAAATACTGCACAAAATCCCCCACTGGCTATAGATTGCCCTAAACATCCGCATAATCCTCAACTATATTTAATTCACCAACTTACCAACTTAACTTAACTATAAACTCATATAGACTTCCAAAAACAGCCAGCACCATTTGCCCCAAAATGATGCCGAGTTTAGTGTTCCCACCGATCTGAACGTTCGATGTTTCCATCATTTCCAGATGTTCAACTGTTCGATCTACTTAAGACACCCTCCGTTTGTACCCATAAAAGTCTCAAGTGGACCAAGTCGACCTCCTTTTTTCGGGCCGTACTTGGAGGGGCTAGCTATGCCTGGAGGTTGAAATGTTGGTTGATCGTTTTTCCATGTTTTCCCATGAAAATTGCTTACATATTATATAATTTTCAAGGATCCTCAAGAATTTCTACATGATTCACCCTGCACCATGAGAATGATAGGTTTCCCAATGGGATGGTCGGTTGGTTGAATAGGTTTCCCAAGAATGACTCACCTTGCCCCAAAAAATTGGGAAACTCAGCTTTTTTTTTAACCTGTTATCGCCTGTTATCCCAACAATGTGAGGCCTCCAAGATAGCGTTCAGTTGGTGTATAACTCCAATTTCACTATGGTTTATGGTACGCACCAATAACTATGGTTTATGGTACTTATATGTATATACCATGACCCGCCAAAACCATGAAAACGGAAGGTTTTTTTTTACAACCAATATTTTTTAGGTTTGTTATTTGAAAACCCGGTTTCCAACATCTCATGGGTATATCATGGTATATCCACCTCTTACTATCCTACCATATCCCATCTTTTCTGTCGCCGCTGCTTGGATCTACATCCTGAAAGTGCACCTGGTAGCTGCAACAGTTTCTTGATCTGAAGCTGGGACTGGCGGTCAGGGTTGCCACTATGATATAAGAGCATATAAGAGCTAGGCCAAGTTTAGTATTTTGATGAAAATTGAGATCAAGAATCATCAGCAATGCCTTCCGATAGTGCATTGCGCACTGCCAAAAAAGATCTCTGAATTACCCTAAGGGCCGTTGTTCTGCTAGAGACTCGTCTAGCTAATCGGCTGGGCCTACCAATGTAGTCCTCTTCTAATTGAACCCCTGTCATGATGATGTTGAGACACCATTCAGCTCTTCGAGAATCAAGCACTAGCTCCAGGAACTGGTGATGAAGATAGTGCAGTTTTGGAACTAGTGGGAACCTCTTCAAACGCCGATCAAAAGCCATTTGGGCAAGTTCAGCATAAAGCTGAAGAAACAACAAACCTTGCTTGCCGATGCGTTCAGCGTCAGCAGATCTGATGAAGAGACCCTCTCTGTAGAGATTCCCCAGGCAAAGGTTGATCGTCACTGCAGCTTCAGCCTGCAGTGGCTGCAATGGAATGATGAATGCATCAACTGCAAAAAGCACGAGTTGGTAAGACCATGCAACAACCCCCAAAACATGACCATAAAACACATTAATAAAACAATAACTGGTTTCGAAACAAAAACAAATTTAACGAAAGTCCAAGAAACACACTTGAGGTAAAAATTGTCCACTGTTTTCCCAACAACTTTTCTGGAAGCATAGTTGTCGAACCATTGGCACATGACACGTGTGAAATCACCTTTGGTCCACCCACCATCAGGACAATCTTTGAAGGAATGTTCTATTCCGAGTAATGCTTTCGTGATCTTTTTGTGGTATGGGCTTTCTTTCTCTCTTTTGCAATACTCCAGGAAATCACTTGAAATGATGCGAAGCGACTCATCTATCGAAGCATCAATCAGCTCCAAACACACCACCACTACAGATGAAGCAAAATACTTGCCAACGCCTGAATGAAAGTTGTGAAATAGGTCAAACTTCCACATACCAGTTTGATCACCAGAACGCTCATATGGTATGTTCAGCAAAGGGCTGGGTGCGCTGTAGGGTGGCGTTACGCCAATTGTACCTCTCCGCATAGGTGTTTCCACCCCCAATTCCTCATAGGGTACATCAATGTGAACCCCATTGACCTGATAGTTTTCCTTACCAGCAAGACATCGATGGCAAATTCCAACAGCAGCTGTCCTGGAAGTTGGGGCACGCGGCCGCCTGGTAAATGACCTATCGAACAAGCCACTCTTTTGAACAAAAGGACTGTCACCTTTGATCCCCACACATGCAATGAAAAAACGCTGATTCTGGATAACAATGCCATCCCAAAACAGTTTTGCAAATTCATCGGCTTGTAGCTGAAGCATATGCTCGAAGGCTTCAGGTGCCTCCCCATACAAACTGATAGGCATCACACACTGCAAAAAGTGATTGCAGAATGTATTGCCAAGCATGTTGGCACGTAAGGGTCCATCAGGGTTTTCCAGTTCAGCTGGTGTTTTTCCCAAATTCGAGTGTGAATTGCCCTTGCCGAGGCAGCCGTGAGTAGACAGCACCATAAGTTGTTTCTTTTTCAATCCTCTTCCTTCATCTCCATGGTAGAGTACTGGGATACACATGCTTCTGTGGAAGTCTCGATCACCTTCAGCACGATCGCATATGACATGGTGTGGGTACAGGGCTTCAAACCGTTTCCAAAAGGTAGTGAGCATTGGGCGCATTTTCTCAACGTCACCAGTACCAACTAAGCAGTCAAGGTTGTCATACTCCACAATGTAACGCAGCCAACTTGAAAACTTCACATAGGGAAAGCTCATTTTGGTTGGCAAATCAGTTGTTGATATCTTCACATGAATCGACTGACCAAACTTCTTGAAGACAGTGTGGGTACCACTTTCGCTTCTTTTCAAATTCACCCGTTTCAGCATCTTCAAACCCCTCGACTGCACTCGCGTAACACGGGCCTGGCGAATGGCATCGCTACATGCGACCTCAGTCACAAGCATACAACATGTGCACATGTTGGAAAACCCAGTGGGAAGGGATAACAAATTGGATAGCATATGGGATAATCCATGCATGTAGATTGTAATTGACAGTGGGTTGAGAAATCTAGCTGGCTACAAAACTCTACAATCCTACATGTTCGGAGAAACGTTTGGAAAATACAAACCTGATCCCAACCCCATGCATGCATGCATGCATATGAAACTCAAAACTACTTGGCAACACTTCCCCACTTTTTTCTCATTTTGCTCTCAATTGGTGCCTGCACATTCCTTTTGAAGTTGCATTTGAAATTATGATAGCAAAGCGCTTTCAACGAATTGGTTTGAGGCTGTCCGCCCTGGCCCCAACAACATACACAAAATGAAATGGTTCTGAAATAGAACCAGGCGGTCCTTCACCACCATATCTCTGGTTCCTACAACCTTTCTCTGAAAAATTGTCAGAGATTAAAGCTGCCTCAAGCATTTGAATTAATCCCAAATTGGTGGAAACATGGAGTACCGACATATGAGTATAGTTGCACTCCTGGTAGTACTTGAACCTTAAAGTTGGTTTCGCAGTCATGCCCAGCTTGTAAACACACAACTGCTTACCAATCCCGTTTCGGAACTTGGTGACCAAAGAACGACACCTTTGCAGAATTGTTCCTGCACTGGCATGTTGTCTGCCACGAAAGTGCTGATAGCTAATGCATATCCCATTCCGTTGGCAATCACGCTCTAGCTCTTCCAATTTATGGCATTGATCACTGGAACACAACCGTGATCACATGGTCGTTGAAGTTCCACCTCATTAGTGCACATGATCAACATAAAATAAATTTAGGTTTCGGGTACAACATAGATGGTGGCAAAGGAAAACTGTTGGGATTCGAATGTTTCATGGGAACAGTTACTAAACATGTCATGTATCCGCTGTACTGGCGCAGGATGCCAAAGCCGGAGATGTAGAAACAAATGAGACACTGCAGCGGTTGTCAGATAGGTGACCAGTCCTCAAGTATGTTGTTGTCCATGCATGCATGCATGAAGATTATTTTTCTTAAGCAAAATCCACAAACCACCCAAATTGCACTTATGGGAAAAATACATCAAACAAAAACATATCACCACTGAAGCAAGATATGAAACTTCATGTTTTCCTTGTACAACGGAGGGCAGCGCTTGTCGCCACTATATGGACATGTATAAGTGAGCAGGTCTCGTAGTTCCTCTTCAA